GCCCAACCAAACATTATAAAACCTATACACAATACTCATTACCACAAAACTAAGATCAAGTACAATTTTTTTGTTTCCGTTCTCTAACGTTTGCCTCAACCAAATGTTATGAAACTAATACACAATGCTTATTACTACATAATACAGTTTAAGTACGAAATTCGGTGGCGTCACTTTTACCATTCTTTAGTTATGCCCCTTTATATACTTAAAAATTGCTAAATTTTTCTTTAGTTTGTCTCAACCAAATGTTATAAAACTTATATACAATGCTTATTAATTAAATAATACCACTAAACTCAGATCAAGATCAGATTTGGGTAGAGTCACTTTTACCGTTCTTAGGTTATGTCCCTTTATAACTATATGATATGCAAGCGGGGGCATCATCTTTGTCCACAATCCACATTTATTTCTTCTGATTTCTGAATCCCTATTTTTCACTGGCCAACACTTTTTGAAAAATCCTGGATACACCTGTAACTGAGGTGTGTGATAAAGGTCTTTATTTGGTCTGTGAAATTGCAAAAATGATGGAATGGTCAATTGTTAAATTATGCTAACTTTATTGATAAATAAATAGGTAACACTGTATAGGGAGTTCAGTAAAGAAATTTTATTTGTGTTGTGACACTCTGAAGTCATAAAAAATGTAATTATAGACACAAAATGACCATTCTATGATTAGTTTTATGACTATTAGCCTTACTCTAAAAGAGATTTGATTCACACCAACACCTTCGAGTAAGACATCTGATTGCAAAATATCTTTCCTTCACTGTTTCAGGCAGACTTTATTTTTCCAATTTTTGATTTAAATCTTGCTGGTTTTCAAGTGAATCCTTTGAAAAAAGTGCTTACATAATTTAAATTAAACTTTATTTCTATATCCTTCTAAAAGTTAAAATTAATGATGCATTTTATACAAAAATGGCTACATTTGTGGGTGTATTACATTGTATTATAGACAAGGAAAAAGTTCATTGTAAGTTTCTAGTTTAGCATGATAATGGCTTAATGACATATATTGATCATTAGTTTCTAATAAAGGTTATATCATAATGGTCCATTACTTTTAAACAGTAAAACTATCTGTCCAATTGTTCATACGATTTACAGCAATAAAAATCTCTCATGAAGGAGACTTATTATGAAGAAATTTTTCCCAAAATTTTGAATTTTAATTTGATGCTCTTTATTTGTCACTTATTAATAAAATGAGATATTGTATATACCTGGTTGACTAATAAAATACTGATAGAGTGGTGTCTCATAAAGTTTTCCCTGAAAAAACCTGCATTGTTTTTTTACCAGCATGGCTGTTGTCTTTAAGGTTAGTAAAATCATTGATTCCTTTTGATAATGAAGTAACTGACAGTCCCTTAAGCATTATTCTTAATTAGATACTTTAGTGGAAATAATTATAATGGAGACCGTGACTGATTAAGACGTAAGTTGCACGAGGCTGTTTAATTAACTTGAATAGAATAACAAAGTGGTCATGATGAAGTAAAATAAATGACTTTATTTCAGATAAAAATATTTTTTACCCTGAATTGTTTGTCTGAATTTAAGTTCAGTTTATTTTTGTATCTTGTTTACTACTATTGTCATTTGTTCTGTTTTTCTGTCAAGTAAAGTATGGTTTGGACTATGGAATGATTCATCTTACTGGATCTAATTTCATAACATGAGGACTGCATGCATTTACTTAAGTCCTGTGTATAAGATATGTTTTGCTTCGATCATAGATGTATAGGCTTAACATCCATGCTTCGATCAAGGTTGCCTTTTTATTTAAGTTTGCCATTTAACTGAGGGATATGTGGACTGAACGGTCTGGATAGTCTGTTGACATTTAGTAGGACCGTACTTAACCTTGTAATGATTCCACCTCTAGTATGGTAGAAGTTTGAGTCCTCCTTGGTTATTTACAAAATTATGGTGCAATTTCAGGTGTATGATTCAGTTTATCAGTTCAGATTTCTTAGTGCTGAGGTCAGTGTTTCACAAAATATCATATGACTAGAATTGATTAGTCTGAATTATTCATCACTTATTTACTCTTTTTGTCATTAGATATTACATGAAATAAAGGACAGAATTTTAGGTTTCTACTAGTACTCTACAAATAAAACTAACCACAAGAATCACTGTCAGTATGCAGCAGGTTGCTCCAAAGAGCAGCCAGCCAGCAAACAGTAAAAAAAAAAGATAAAAATGTATTTTTAAACAACAAGAAACTATGAGTAGAATTGGTAATGATGAAATTAAATTATTTTATATGTAACTCCTTTTGAAGAAGAAAAAAGCCTTTTTTTGTGAGTAAAATTGTTTTTGAGGAGGGTGTGAGTTTGTTGAATGGATAGTGTGATTTTGGTAAAACTTGTGACTGTCTTTTGCTTCTTACTGAATAATATTTACTTCATTCCTTTGCGTGTAGTCTAGTATTAAATATTCATGCAACCAATTCCATATGGACTGAATTGGACTAAACATTTGATCTATGAACTAGATCGTAAACAATTACAAAAATCAGCATAATCTTTGTGATGTGACAATTAAATTACTTGTTAATCAGATTGGAATGGGTTTATATGGAAAATCCTATTGAATTCTAAACACTTATTTTTCTCCAGGGAAATAATAGGATTTAATGAAGGGTCCAAATAAAGGTCAACAATAGTTTTCGTCTCATTTTCTGGTTTATTCACAGCTATATTAAGTAAAAAATACAATGGATAAACACATTTTTCAATTGTGAATTACTCAATCTAGATGTCTGCAAATTAATATTTGACACCAAAAACCTGTAAATCTATTAATATTACTCTGCATCCGACATGTTTTGATTTATTTGTCTTGAGTAGGAATAAAAGGAGATTTGGGGTATACATCAATCAGACAGCATTGCCCAAAGGAACAAAAATCAAAAAGACAATAGACACATTAGCATTTTTGTTTTAGAATCAGTTTATTTCTTTACTAAGAACAACAAATTGGTTGCTGTCTGACATGTTTGTATTTTTGGTTACCGGAATCGTTTTTTAGCTTAAATCAGGCCATCAGTTTTCTCATTTGAATTTCTTTACATTTATCATGTTTGGGTCTTTTGTCACTAACTTTATGGTCAGGATTTTGCTCATTGCTGAAGGCTGTACAGGGACCTATTTGTTAGTTGCTTACATCCTCATTTGATCTAGCGGGGGATAGTTGTCTCATAGGCAATCATACCACATATCTTCTTATTTTTACTCCCATTTTAGGATTGTCACGTTTTATCAAATGAAACTGATCCACCAACACATTTGGCTTTTATAGAAAAGGTCAGTTTTATATGGATAAAGAACAATGGCAATGTATGATGATTATCTTTGACTTAAGGTGATATATAGATGTATGAGCTCTCCATATATCATTGCAGCCTACTTGTAAATATATATTATATATATATTTTTTTTTATATGAAAATCTATTCTTTAACACAGAGTCTACTAATGGGGGTATGACCTTTCTCTTTGGAAAGAAGTTCTCATTTATCTCCTGTTTTCATCATTATTAAACTGTATGTAGGTTTTCTACTACAGAAATTGATGAACAAATGAAAGCTATTCCAGCACCTAATGTACCCTTTTTAAAAAACATCTTTCAAGTATAAAAGGTTATAGGATATGAAAGGATTTTACAGATTGACAATTAAGTAATCATAATCTCAAGGTTTTATGGGAAAAAGTCACTGACTGTATAACTTAATTGCAGCTTTGTTTGTGATGTTGATAATGATCTCGAGTTTCTGTAGAGTTTTTTCTATGATGTAATGAAAGTAGTCAACAGGTTTGAGAAATTTTTTATGTCATCTGCTTCAAATTGATAATTGTTGATTTTACTTAATATATTTCATTTGGGACAGTTGTAAGAGTTGCCATATAAAGAGGTCTCCAAGCATAGATTTTATTTGTAATCTGAGTGCTAGAAACATTAGAAATGCTTGACAAAGCCTCGACAAAGCTTCACGTTCTACCTGTTTCTAAGCCTTCTACAAATAAAATTTCTATATTGAAACAATGTAAAGTAGTTCTATAATACATTAATAATCCCATGTTTCCGTATATTTATGGATGTTAAATTGACAGTTACTTACTGTCAGTGAATATTATACTTCCTATTAGTTGATGATGACAATGTCATAAAAGATAGAGGTACATTGTTCTTATCATGGTTTATTTTCCTGCTGTGTTGTTTATATGATCATTGACAAGTAAAGAGAGTTTAATTATTGATATTGTTTGATGTAAATAAATGTTATTATCTCATTAATGGGGCCTAATGGTTACTTTGAAGAATTGAATGACTAAGTATATGTCAATGAGACATCAATACAAAGATATGAAAAACCAGAGTACTGTAAATTCAGAAGTTTCTGTTTACATTTAGATATGCTATTGTTGAACAATGATCAAATAATGTTATCTGAATTTCAAATGTGAGATATTATTTTTGCAAAACCTACCTAGATGCAATTTACGTAAAAATTTCTGAATTAACAGTATATTTTTAGGTTTTCATATAATTTCACTAAAGTCAAATATGTCATGCACAAGATTAGAATTTTGTCTGTTTAGCAAACCCCAAAGAGCCCTTAATAATGCAGTTTTCGACAATGAAATTTTGTGAAAATTGAGTTCTTTTTACATTAAATGTTTATTGGTATACTGTGTGTATTTGTATACTGCTGTATTCAGTGGCGGATACAGAAATTTTCAAAAGGGGGACCCACTGACTGCCATAAAAGAGGGCCCGCTCCAGTCATGCCCCCCCCCCCCCCCCACTAAATTTGCCTTTCAGGTATTTACATTACCTGAATACATAGAATACATCATAAACACTAAGTAGGCTATAAAATGATGTGATATTATTATATATATAGAATTTTAATGAAGTTCTATTGATTAAATATTTCCCTAATTACTATATTGATCTTTCACTTTTGTTTTTTACAGATTTTATCCTGGTTTATGAGGAGGAATTAGAAACTAAAAGTAGTAACAGTGAGATTGTCAAAATAGGAAAATGGAGACAAAAATTCATGAAAAATTTACACAAAATTGGTCTAGAAGTAGAAGAGGTTTGCACATCCTGATATGATAATTGAATTATTAAGTTTTAACCTTTAAAAGTAATTTACAGGGTGTTTAATAGAAGATTATTGATCATGTTTTTCAAGTTATTAGATAGTGCAGCTTCATTAATCTATTTTAATGAGTTAGAATGTTGCACTTCAAAACTTGTAATAACAGAATAGAGTGTTAATATTGGTTATTGCTGTTTGAAGTGATTTATGTAAAAGCAACTATTGTAATATGTATAGAAGGTTTCTCAGCTTTTAGTCTTAAGAGTTATTTCTAAAACAATTCACCAGAACTAAAGTGAAAAAATGTCTTGTCACCTAGAACAATAAAGACGCATATTATGTTGCTTAGATACATAAACACACGCATGTCATGTTGCTTAGATACATAAATATACACATATTATGTTGCTTAGATACATTAAGACACAGATCATACCACAAAGATACATTATGACACTAATATTATTTACCGAATTACATTAAGTGCATATGATACAGTTTTGATCCCACAGTGAATTTTTCATGAAAGTTTGCATAAAAGCTATTTTTCACCTAGTCAATTCAAATATGTAATAAAAAATATACCTTCATGTGCTACTTTTAGAGTAGAATTTTAGACATTTACTGGACATTTCGGTTTCTTCAACATTTCTATCGTTTGGAGAAACTTACGCAACTTTTTTGTTTCAAATGATAAACGCAAACTAATTTTTGTAAACTCGTCTGAAATATCTTTTCGACACAAGTGTGTTTTTTAGTTAAAAAAAACGGCATTTTTGGCTGTATATTTATCTAATTTAAAAAAAAATCATCTGTGATTTGTTCATCAAAATTGGCACAGATAATCTTCATACATAATCAATCCAAATGTCATTTTTTAAAAGAGGGGTCCATGAACTTGTTTTCACGTTAAATCAGTCGAAAAATGCATCTTTTCTCGATATGTCATAGTTTGACATCCCTAAAAATAATATTTTATGTTAGCAACGTCATTACCTCCCTTGTAACTATAGTATGCCCTTACGACACACAGAGTATGTCACCTAGATACATTAAGACTCACAGGTCATGTCTCTTAGATACATTTAGACTCACAGGTCATATTAATTAGATACATTTAGAGACACAGGTCATGTCACTTAAGATACATGAAGACACACAGATTATGTCAACTAGATACATTAAGATGCACATATTATGTCACCTAGATACATTAAGACTCACAGGTCATTTCACTTCGATACTTTAAGAGACACAGATAATGTCACCTAGATACATTAAGACACACAGGTCATGTCACTTAGATACATCAAGACACACAGAGTATGTCACCTAGATACATTAAGACACACATGTCATGTCACTTAGATACATTAAGAGACACAGGTCATGTCACTTATATACATTAAGACACACAGAGTATGTCAACTAAAAACATTAATATGCACATATTATGTCACCTAGATACATTAAGACACACATATTATGTCACCTAGATACATTAAGAGACACAGATTATGTAACCTAAAAACATAAAGACACACAGATTATGTCAACAAGAAACATTAAGACTCACAGGTCATGTCACTTAGATACATTAAGACACAGATTATGTCACCTTGATACATTTAGACACACAGATTATGTTACCTAGATATATTAAAACATACAGATTATGTCACCTAGATACATTATGACACACAGGTTTTGTCACTTAGATACATCAAGACTCACAGAGTATGTCACCTAGATACATTAAGACACACAGGTCATGTCACCTTAAAATATTAAGACACATAGAGTATGTCACCTAGATACATTAAGACACACAGATTATGTCAACTAGAAACATTAAGACTCACAGGTCATGTCACTTAGATACATTAAGACACACAGATTATGTCACCTTGATACATTAAGACACAGAGATTATGTCACCTAGATACATAAAGACAGTATGTCATGTCACTTAGATACATTCAAATGCACATATTATGTCTCCTAGATACATTAAGACACACATATTATGACAAACTATATACATCAAGAGACAGAGACTACGTCACCTAGATACATTAAGACAGTATATGTTACGTCACATAAATACATTAAGCTGCACAGCTTAGTGAAAAAAAAATAGTAAGGATATACATATGATGTTTTATTGGTTCCCTACCAGCTAACCTGACTATATGGTTGCACTCTATGTAATATGAAAATAAGGAGATGTGATATGATTGTCAATAAGGAGATGTGATATGATTGTCAATGAGATAACTATTATCCAAGTTCAGTTAAAACATAATAATAACTAAGACAGCTCTCTCACATGCTGTAAGCTATTCACTCATTGGTTGATTATCCTTGTGAATTGCTTGTCTTTACCTATTACATAGCACCTCTTTTTTTGTCTCTGAAGAATTAAAAGATCTTAGAATTGAATTGTTGTGGCCTTAGTTATTTACTGCAATTTTTTTGCATGTGAAATGACAAATAGCATCTAATCATGTGTCTTTTCTATTTAGGAAAATGTGCAAAGTCAAAAAAAGATCACAACATTCATCAAACTTCATGCTCCCTGGGATGTTTGTTGTTTCTACGCAGAGGACCTGTGCATGAGAGCCCCATTACAGGTATTGTCTGGTATACTCTTAATTTTTATAACTATTTATGTTTCACATATTAACTTAAATGCACTATTTCGATGTACACTCTTTTTGAATAACATGAATTAGTAGTTTATAAATAAATTCTAATGTAAAACAAAAGAATTTATGTATGTTTACTGTAACCTGCTGAAAAAATCAGATTCGGTAATTAATGCATTCTGGTTAGCTGCCATTGTCAGAGTTGTTTTTGTCAGTCGTATGTTTTTATTCAGTTTTACACAATACTTGTTGACAATTTTCGGTATAAAGCTACAGGTTGAAAAAAAAGGAGCATTACTGTCAAGAATAATACTTGGGAAAATATGATTTGCCCAATTTTCAGTAATAAAAAAGTTAGGGTCAGCTCTCAAAAATTAGGATCGGTGAAGGTACAACAAACACATCTTTTTTTTCCCTGCCTAACTTTAAAATTTATTATTAATTTCCACTTACCACTCATCTCTATTTTCATGTTTGAATAGTCAATTGCATTCATTCCAAGTGTGGTCAGCTTCGTTTTGTTGAGTTGACCAAGTTATTGTCAAACCTTAGTTTAGGATTTTTTTTTTATACATGTCTTTTTCTTGATTGCAATGTAAGCAAGACTTTCATTTTATACTTTTTATATATTATACATTATTTGTAGCTTCTTTCTACATTTTCTTTGTAAATGTCATTTGGTTATTTTACAACAAAAGCTGATCAAAATTTTCATGCAAGTTGACAATTCTATTCAGATTGGTCCAGTATATAAACACCTTTTTAAAAACTGATAGATGTTAGCAAATTCAGCTTTTCCAATGGAGAAATGTAATCCAAGGAATCTTATCAAAAAGCTAAAAAGCTCATGTAACCATCAGAATAGATTTGACTACATGCATGCATATTAAGATATACATGTCTATCTATAGATATTACTAACTTGCACAAAAGCACACTTTTTATCACATTTTTATTATTACAACTTTTAATGAATTGCTCTTGTTTTGTGTTATTTTATCATTATTATTATATGTAGATAATATATATATAAATATCTGGTAATTGCAGGCATTAAAAAAAGCAGATTTAGATTTTTTAACTTCACTGTTAATATAGTAAACCTATTTATACTTGCTTACGACTATGACCTACAGATATTTGATAAGAAAAGTAACGTAAGTTGTTTTTGCATGGTTACTTTGCCTTTAATGTAGATTATTTGCTGACCCTATATTTATGTTTTTACCCATTTTTGAAAAGTTTGAATGCTGGAGAGGGAATATTATAATCTTAGAGCATCCATTTTGTTACTATGCTTTTATAACCTTTTTTAAGCAGTGAAAGAAAAGAAAACAATTACAAAAAAAAAAATATGTTTACAGATGTGTTAGACAACTCTTAAAAAGGATAAAATGATGAATTTCAAAATGATGATTTGTATTGTCACTAAATTTTAAACTTAACTTAGATTATTCTTTGGAAGACTATCATGCAAATGAATGGTTTTAATAAGTATATAAAACCTGGTTTAACCAACCACCTTTACTTTTTCTGAATTATCATGAAGAAAAGTAGATGACTGGCTTTTTTTTTATAGTCTGTGCCATTAAATGATTAGTAAAGAAATAATGTTCATGGTGTTCCTACTCTGTCACAAGGGTGTATATTGTTACCAAATTCATCATTCTATCCTTTTGTCCTTCAATCATTCTGAAATCAAATAGTGATACCTACTTTTTACATTATTTCTGCAGATATTGAGCTGACATTTTTCTATGTAAGCTGTAAATACACTTATCATAGATATCAGGATTAAGATTTAATATGCCAGACGCACATTTTTCGTCTACAAAAGACTCATCAGTGATGCTCGAATGGTTAAAAAGGCCAAATAAAGTTCAAAGTTGAAGAGCATTCAGAACTTTTAAAAAATTATGATTAACAGAATCATTATAACGTTAATTAGTTTAAGCATAGTGATGGTGGTATACAATTGACTTATTATATAAATATAATGCATGATATCAGTAAAGATTTTCAGTGGATCCCTTATGGTTCAATTTTTGTGTACCATATTTTTAGTTTACCTGTGATCCAAATCTCAGTTTCAGCTTTTCTCGTTAATTTTGCCCCCACCTCAAAAAAGTGGGGGTATTATTAGTTATCTTGGTGGAATCAGGGATGTACAGAATTTTACACCGTTGTTAAAATTCATACACCCTGAGGCGCAGCCAATTGGGTGTATGAATTTTCAACAACGGTGTAAAATGCCGTACACCACTGATTACACCAAGATAACGAATTTATTTCTTATGAACAATTCCTTTACTCTTTTTTAAACTGGGATGTAAAATTGAAAAATGCTAATGAAAACTTTCCAGTGTTACATTTTTTCAATGTTGATGTTGCTGCGCATTGTCAAATACTTATTTTCTTTATTTTGGGGATTCAGAAAATAAAATTGTTCTTTTAAATTTTCGGGGAAAAATTAAAAAAAAAAAATTTTTTTAATTTTTTTTACAAATTTTTGTCCTCAAATTTATTTATTTTTCATTTTTTCATATTTTTTTTGTTTTATTTTTTATTTTATTTTTTTGACATTTTATTTATTTTTGTTTTATTTTATTTTTTGACATTTTTTTTTTTTTTGTTGACATTTTGGCCATTTTTTAAATTTTTTTTCTTTTTTTTTTTTGGCAAAATTTTATTTATCCCGGGGTGAACAAGGGTGGGGTGTTATTTACACCGGGGTAATTAACCAATCAGATTGCAGTATTTTTGCTGCATAAGAAATAAACTGTTTTACCTCTGTCTGTTGGTCCATCTGTCAATCAGTCCATCCGTCCCATGAATATTTTTCGTCGCATTTTTCTCAGGTACTACATTACAAGGATTTCTGAAATTTGGTTTCAAGGTTTATATGAGTGAGCTATACCGTGTGATGCGATTCATCACTCAGCAATTTCCTGTTTACCGAATACTTACATATTTTTATACTATTAAAATTATCCATATTTGGGCTGGGGGTATCATCAGTGAGCAGTAGCTCACAGTTTCACTTGTTTTACAATTTTTATTTGCCTGGACTATGTTATAATAGGACTTGATAAATAAAGAACAGATGGCTAAACAGTTTTAGAAATATTTTGAACTAGAATGAATAATTTAGGGAAATAAATTGCCAGGCAAAGAAAACGTGGAGATTGTTTCACAATGTATTATTGTAAGAATTATCTTCAGTTGTTTCTTGTAAGATAGTAACACAAGAATGAATATAAAAATACAAGCCTTTCTATAATTATGAAACTTGAAAAATCAATTGAGAAATGATGGTAAGTCCATGGTCATTTGCTGTAAAAAATAAATGGAAAACTAGGGTTATGGTGTATCAATTCATTACACTACATTGACTACACCAAAAGCAGAAAAACGGCTTTTATTGCTGTTTATCATCTCAAAGTCACAGTGAGACATTAACACAGAGCATTGAGCTCAAATCTCACAGCAATTAAGTTCACACAGTCCATAATGAATTGAGTGGAAATTTTTGTTAAATGTCAGTAGCAGTACACATTTGCATTTATGACTTACTAAATTTTGAAGTAATTTCAAAATATTATAATCTATAAAATTTTCACAATAGCCTTTCAGTGTGAAGTACAAAAACATATTTACACCAAGATGTTGTTAAATGAAATTGGATACCCTGCATTTATCATGCTTTTTAATAACACATGGTCAAATTGCTGAAAGACCCGCTCCTAAATCAATGAAAATTATCATTCTGCATTGACAATAATTATCTTGGTGTAAATTAGATACAACCATTTGAGCTAACGCCCTCAAGGTGTATTTAATACTCACACCATCACAGAGCACATAAAGCGATTTATAAGACAACTTGACAGGAAAAATGTTTAAATAATATAGCAAATCTTTCGGTTGCACCACAAAACAATTTAAACAAAAAAACTAGACAGTCTGTTTTTTTGTTTTGATAGCAATGAAACACCCCACCCCAAAATGATTTGAGATGCCATTTAGGCTGTTTTAACAAAGGCAATTGGGGGAGGAGGGGGGAACCCACAACTTTGTATTGCATCAAATTCAGAATATATAGTAATACGCTGACAAAAAATATGTGCCTTTCTTATTTGGAGAACTAAGGATATTGCAATGTAAACCACCAAATTAAAGGAAGCAACAGTAATGGATTCATTTTGTAGGTAAATAAATTTTTGGTCTACAAATGAAAATGAAATGACTTATCATTTCTGACTTTATTTTCAAGGAACAATATCAGATAAATGTCATGCTAAGTTTGGGTGGTTTTGTGAAACTTTATCCTGTGTTTTTAAGATAAATGCAGCCTCCTCCCGCTAAAGACATGTAGAAGGAGGGAGGTATCATTGTATCTGTTCCATTTTAACTATTTTTTTCATTAAAAGTGTTAGAAACATTACTGAAAATAAGGATATGAAACGTCAGCTTTGTCAAATGTGTCTAGCAATTTTGTTCGGAAAATTAATATACCATACATCCCTTCTTTTTCGTTATTTAACAGCTTTTTTACCAGCATTTAAATCCTAATAAACAATTTGTCTAACTTCAATAAATTCCATTCATGTAAGAATTATTTCTAGAAAATTCAGAAAGCTTGATACATTTTAAGTTCTATTATAGTTATTTTAGTGGTTTAAACATCTTATTTAAAGAATTTCTGGCCACAGCAACAAGTAAATTTAATAATGGTTTGTAATATAAAGAAATCTAGATTGATAGTCAATATTTTAGGAAACAAAATGAAATTAGAATCTTTTCTCATCTGTAAGATTGAGTTATGGAGTATCTCTAATATGCCTGATGTGTAAAAAAATAGAATTTCATTTCTCGAAATTGATTGATTATATTTGGGACTGGTAAAACAGTTTGAAGTTGGGCAATGAGGTTTATTTGATCTATCTTAAATGGAAGAATTTCAGTTTAAAAATTGAGGTAAAAAAACAGTTTTGTCCAAAATATGAAACGAGCATAACAATTTTGAAACAATCTTTCACAAAATGTTGTTGCACCACATGATTAAATATGATGAAAGTACCATGGTTCAGCAAATGCCTGGATAAGGGGAACTAACTTGTTTGAATCGGGGGTCAGATTATTGCTAGCCTCAAGATCTCATTAGAATTGGCAGAATGCAAGAAAATTTTCTTATTTTGATACAATAACATAAGTAAACTAACAATTTAACTTTTTTACACAAGCCATAAAAATAATGATGATTAGAGTGTCATCTTTAAACCTAAGAGTATTAAGACGAGTCAGGACAGTCATGATTTGTATTGCAATACCAGTAAGAAGGTAGTTTTTGGGTTAAACATCATTAAAACACCAAATCTGTCAACAAGATAAAATCAAAAATAGAAAACCAGTGTCCTTTATGTAAAGTTTTGAATATATTTTAAGACTTGATGAAGTCCATAAAAAATTACAAATTAAAGCTGGATTGTCATGGAATTTATGGAGAAAATTTCAACTTTAGAATTTTGATTTTTGTACTTTCTAAAAATTTATTTCATTTTAGAAAAATTTCAAAAATGGTATTGTTGGCATGAAAATGACTGATAGGTTTAATTTTAAAATCTTTAGCATACAATTTATTTGTCGGGGAATCAATTTACTGTGTTAAAAAACCATTAATGAAATCCTGCTAATTCAATCTCAATACAAATAGTATCTCTATTGTAGCCAAGCTGCACTCAGATTATTAGTCAGTGGGGGAGGTTTACATCCTACACACAAACTTTATGCTCTCAGTCAGACGGTAAAATTCTGTTCAGACGCATCATAATAAACAAAACTGGTATTATGTAATAAGAATAACTTTAAATGCAAGACTTGTGCTCATTTAATGTCGTGTCAGGTAGGCATTTGCTGCTTTTGAAATATCATTCCATATAACAATCATGCAATTTGGAAAAAAGGGGATCGATTTATGTAATAAATATAAAATAAGGAGATGTGATATGATTGCCAATATTAGACAACTATCCACCAGAGTCCAATTGACGTGGATGTAAGCAAACACAAATATTTAGTTTTGTTATTTGAATTGCTGTTTGGTACACATTATAAAAAGGGTAATGGTTTTCTCTTACTGCCTGTTCATGGAAGAAAATTGACTTGAAAGTTTCAAAGAAATGCACTGCAGATCAAAGAGTTGTCTCGCTTTACAGAATTTTCATAGTGCTTTCCATATGTTTTATATTTTCCTTTAACATGCAGGAGTTAAGATATGAATTAAAGTAAGCTTTTGCATTCTGAACAAAAATATCAAAAATGATTATTTGTAGGCTTTCCACCCATGATTCACCTTTTACAAAATTTTTATGTGGTGTAGAAGTGAAATGTACGAAAGCAATTGCAAAATTTATAGTCAATATAAATTATTTATGTCAATTATAAGACTTGTTTTTCTTGACTTGAGTAGCTTCTTTTCAGACATCAACAATCTATACAGATAAGTTAGATTAACTTATGACGTAACATACAAATATACAAATTGCTGTTTATGCAACAAAAAATTGATTAGGACTAACACAAAGATTAAATAATCTGATATTCCAGAAACTTTGGTGCAGTATTACAGAAAGGTGCTTATATATTTGTTTATAAGTACATTTTCAAATTATAGTAGATTGAATTACATAACACTTGGCTCTGATACATAAAAAGGTAATGACCATTTTATAAACCTTGAGACAACATTTACAGCTTATACTCATGTTTTATATCCATTATTGTGTGGGCCTCTAGTGAGATAAAAAAATACTACATGGGAATTTCTGTCAGTAAGCTAATGGTAGAGAAATGATTCTGTTTCCTTTCAGTAAAACATAATATCTTTTGGGTATAATCTGAAGTAAGATTATATATCTGTCATGCAAACCTAGCATTAGATGTCTGTGTTTTTTAATATGATATCTTCTGTCAGGTATAAAATGTAGGATTACCCTTTAATAAATCTCTAAGGAAGCAGTTGTTATTAAAGAGTAAAACTTAACTCCATAATCAAATCATCCTTCTGCGTCTTTTGGTCTTTGGTGGAGAGTTGTCTGAATGGCAATCATACCACATCCTCTTATTTATATACTTAAATATGGGATGTAGCGTCTGGTTTTTCCTAAGTTTAAAAAAATGAAATTTAAAGTTTCTTTTAGAATTATTGATAAGCAAAATTACTCTTATAAACTATGATATTCATTTATAAGTTACAAATTCTTATATATAATTGAATATGACACAAATGTTATCTGTGAAAGAGGGGAAGGTCCTTATTATTGCCATTATACTTGTTGGTAATCAAATGTACCAATTTTTAGAAAATAGTAAGTTCCTAATAAATCAGGTACAAGTGATTTTTGAAATAAACGAGATGAAGTGGATTAAAAGGGGAACAGCAAATGATAGCAAACTGAAAAAAGAACGACATCTAGGACGCAGCATACAGTCCTCAACAATAGACAGGTGTCTTTACAACAAGTTCTAAATTGTCCTGATTCATCAAAAATTGTGAATAGATTAAACAGAAACAATTGAAAATCTTCTTCAACACTTAACTCTCCAAATAACGAAAAACATAAGGATATAACATGCAAGGTTCCTGACTTGGGACAGGCATATGAATATGTGGGGGATTGAACTTAGTTCTAAGTATTCTACTGTAGTATGCCATCTTGCACAGTGTTATCAGGTGTTGGAGATTGGTCATAATACAGCTATTGCTATAAGATCATACCTTGTTGAGGGATGTCAGACACAATGATTTGTATCTAAAATTGTTCATTAAACCAAGTACTTCTGTTGGTGACAAATCATTACTATAATTTATATAATGGTTAATATCACTGCTGGTTCTCTGTGCAGTTAGTTATAGATTTATCAGTTTTCATATAAACCATGTACCTCTCAGACAGTCTGATTGAGTGAATAAAGGGCATTGTCATTTTATTTCAGGATTATGAATATGTATTCTTACTAAAGTACACATAAACCAACCTCAGTCTGAGTTACAATGAAGAGCATAATGTTTTAATTTGTTTTTGTTTAAACGAACCACAGTTATTTGAATTATCTTCACAAACTCTCACATGTTAAGACTTTACAAACATAAACTTTGTTTAGAATGCAACAAACAACAAACTGCACATGAAAATAATTGTTTACTCATTAATTTGCTTCAAAACAAAACCTTGTTAATAGTAAGATGTGTGTCAGTGAAACTTTTCCAGCAGTGTACTTTTGGATGAGATAATTGTAAATATTTCTTGACACATTTTCTTGAGGGTTTTATTTCCGACGGAATAAACACACTAGTGTGAAGAAGGAAATCACTGGTGCAATATTCATTTACTACAAGTTCTACAAGCTTAAATGAAGGTACACTTACAATATCAACGTAGTTTTGTTTTACCCTGAAGGGGGTCCAAACTATAGCCTCACCCAATTGAGGCAAACACACTACCATAATAGAACTCAAACATTATTTAACTATGTTATTTTTACACTGTTGTAATTTATCTATTTCAGGCACATCCAAACCCTTCAAATAACTGGTCAGGGAAAATTCTTAAGATGCTCAGAATACCAAATATGATGGCTGAAGATGTTCCTAACAAACCATTAGATTATTATACATGTGCTTTCAAAAAATCTAAATTAAATAGGTAAGATTATTTGAGACATAAAAAAATATGTAAATTTTATATACCAGGTATATTAGTAAGTGAATATTCTATTGATTTCTCGAGATTGATATAGGCATTTGGTCCGCATACTAACTTATTCTATGCAACTGTCATGCAAGTGAGAGATTCAGCTAGGTATAAAACCAGGTTTAATGCCTGTACCAAGTCAGGAATATGAAAGTTTTTTTCCATTCGTTTGATGTGTTTGAGATATTTTGATTTTGTCATTTGATAAAGGACTTTCTGTTTTGAATTTTCCTTGGAGTTTGTTATTTTTGTTATTTTACTTTATACTAACTAAAACACTCATGTGATTACTCTTAGGATGGTTACTTAATTTGGATAACAGGATATTATTGTTAAGATATACATGAGACAAAAAGATCCACAATGCACTAGGCAATAACAAATGCATGAAGAGAATAACACTATATTCCAGGAATGAATGAGAGGCTCTCAGATAATTGGGGGAGAAATTTGTTATTGTTATAAAAACCCTGAACATTTTACTAAGCTGTTATCATATACTGTAGTGTCAGATCAGTTTCATTTTTGTTTGTCATTTTAAAAAAATAATTCATTACAAAATGCTTTGACTTTACAAACTTTGTTAAGGGATTGATATCTACATTTTATTTATAAAAAATGTTGAAATAAGTTGTCTTATTAAATTCAATTTTATATGCAGGTTTTTAGGAAGTGATAATCAAGAGACATATTTCTCAATTACACAACGAGGTAGGATTGTTTGGGAAATCTTGGCAACAACAGCTTATGGTAAACGTAAACATGCAGAGATTGGAGTTGAGAGATTACTGGAAGAGGGAATATATAAAGCTGCCTATGCTTTACATGATGTAAGATATGAGCTATGTCGATTAGAAATCGACCTTATGCAAGTGCACGTATACATGTACATGTATAAGACTTTGATTGATTTTTGAACATTAAAATACGAAATAAAAGATGAATTTTGGTCTGTTTTGTAGATTTTCTCATAACAGCTCAATTTTTGAAGAGTTACAGACTTTCCATCAATATTTTTTCAACCAGAAATAGGTTGACAGATGTATTAATATTCATTTGCATACGGTCAATTTCTATCCGACGCAGCTCATACTATGATTATTTCACTGCAAACCAACTAACAAGAGATATAAGAAGATGTGGTATGAGTGCCAATGAGACAACTCTCCATCCAATCAAAATTTATAAAAGTAAACCATTATAGGTCAAAGTACGGTCTTCAACACGGAGCCTTGGCTCACACCAAACAGCAAGCTATAAAGGGCCCCAAAAATTACTAGTGTAAAACCATTCAAACAGGAAAACCAACAGTCTAATCTATAAATTAAAAACGAGAAACGAGAAACACTTATGAAGCATATATCTATGTTCACAGCAAATCATGTCATCCAGAAAAGGTAATAAGAACAATTCAGTCTTGAAATTAAGGAGGAGAATTTGAGAGAGTGGAGAAGACTATCAAAGACACAGACAAGGGGTTAAATAACAACTGTTGAAAAAAGGCTACAATGGAAAATTTATTGAAAACCAACTGAAAAAAAGACAACCTAAAAAGTAAAGAACTGTTACAAAGAAAATCAAATAACAAAAAGACAACAGAAATTGTACCACTTGTTATTATGCGTACTCTTCTACTACCAGATATATATGATATTGTGAAAAAAAAGAATTAATATTTTACAAAACTGGCTTTATGAAAGAATTTTTTCCAGAACCACTGCTTGTTAAGCTTATGAAGAGAGAGGATTTGACTTTGAAGATTTAATAGTACATGGGAAGCTAAAAAATATCACTAAAAAATGACAACAATAACTACAAAACATGTAAAAAAGAATGGAGTGTGTAATATTGAAAGAAATGAAGGAAACATTATACTTGGTGATAAGACATTTAATTTCAAAGACAGCATTCGTGAATGTAAACTTATAAACCTTGTTTATGGACTACACCATGGAAAATGTGACCACTATATATATATGTATGAGAAACAGAAACATCTCTGAACGACAGAATCAAATCACATAGCAAATATTAGACATAACAGGGAAAAAGCAATATCTGAACATTTTAATCAGAAGGACCATTGTAAAGAGGACAATACAACTTCTTTAACAAATTTATAAAAGAAAAGTGGATAAATTATAGAAGATATATGTAAGCACAGTGGATGCAAAGACTAAATACAATTAAGCCATTTGTGGTCAACTTGAAAAAGAGAATTACTTTGAATTAACTGATAACAACAACTTTGAGGTTTATTCATTTTAAGTTATTCTGACATCATGTTATTGAGACGTCATTACGTTACCAATGATCTAAATGTATAATATCAAAATGATTGTGAAAAGTGACTTGTCTACCATATAGATTAGAAGGATAATAAAGAAACTGAAGAGGACAAGTGGCTGAAAAGTCTAAAAAAGGGTTTAATTACTCCAAAATTATTTTCAAAAAAATATTGGTTACTTTTTGTAAATCTACTGTGAAAATATGATTTTCCTTGAAAAATTTTGTTCACTGGCAAAACCTTTTTTTACTTTATAAGATTTATTTTAATTGCAGGGGACTTTTGAGAAACCAAAGCAGCCAATAAAACATGAAGAACTAAATGACAGACAAATATTATATGAATACTGGGCAAGGTGGGGGAAATGGTTTAAGTACCAACCACTAGACCATATACGGGAGTATTTTGGAGAAAAAGTAGGAATTTATTTCGCATGGTTAGGTAAAGTATTAATTATTAATCTGACATTTTGAAATGTGCTAGATATTTTGATAAGTCCAATACATAGATAAAAAATTTAAATAGCAAAAATGATCAGCATCGCAAGATCTACAAATAAGTCTAATGACAGAATTATTCAGTCAACTCGATATTGGAATTATTCCTCCTTAATGACAATTTTTACTAAGTTTTAGTGTTTAGATCAAAAATGATCAGCAAGACAATGTTGGAGAGTGTCCATTGTTGCTCTAGTTTTTCTATATTCTATATGGCAGATGCCTGATTTTATACAAGACTAATGACTTAATGATTTGGCAAAATATGGCAGTCTGTCTAACACAATATCAGAAAACCTCCCAATTAGTCTGCAATAGTCTTTTATTTCTAATTCACATGAAAAATCTTTTGAATGTTCAAACAGTGATTTCAAAGATGATTTATGCGTTTAATTCAATAATGTAAAACCACCAATGATAACAAAATAAACAATATGACTTAAAAATAAAACAATTTATTACTTCAGGAAATGTTTGCAAATAAATTGAAAATAACTTATTAATTTATTTATCAATTAAAAATTAAGGAAATGAAGGTAGTTTCAGAAAAAATTGATTAAGGTCTTTGAAGGCACTTGCATATAAATGTATGTTGGAGGATATAGGTATAGGACAACAGAGTAAGATAGACTTAGGTCCCAATATGGACATATTTTTAGGAAAAATTTCAAATAAGGGAATTGTTGCTATTTTCATAGTGTATCGTAATTAAAACAATGGCTATTGACTAGATAGAAAATAGGTCTTTTTTAAGAATTTTTCATATACCTGTAAGCTTTCTTTTTATGACATCATAATTAGCATGAATTTTAATTTTCTACTAAATTCAATAAAGACATGCCAGTTTCTATTGTTTTTAGATGCAATTTCTAATAGTTTACATTTCTTAGTGGCATAACTTCTAATGAAATAATTGATCAGTGCTGACTGTCAAATTTATTTGAGACAATGCTGATATACAGTAAACCTTTGATATAAATTTTATGAAAATCTGACAAGATATGTAGGTGGGAGACCACTTAAGAAACTGAACAAACAGACATACAGACAAACAGTCAGACACCCACCCGACATTTCTATGTCCCCTGCACCACATTATGGCAAGGAACAATATAGTTATTGTGACCCAACCCCATTGCACACACACCCCTTAAATATTTTATTATATGCAGATGATGCAGTTCTTTTATCATCATCTGAGCAAGGACTTCAAAATTGTGTTAATAAATTATTTGAATTTACAGTAGATTGTAAAATGACAGTTAACACCAAAATGACCAAGGTTCTTGTATTTAACAAATCAGGACAGCATAGAAATATTAAAATATCCTTAGGACACCAGATTTTAGAATGTGTACAGAACTACGCATACTTAGGAATAAATTTTTCAGCATTTGGGAGTTCCCAAAAGGCAAAGAAAGAACTTTATGATAAAGGAACGAAAGCTTATTTCAAATTAAGGAAGACCTTTTCAGTGGAAAGCCCAAAACCTAGTACTTTATTACACATCTATAACCTTACAATCCAACCCATCTTGTTGTTTGGATCTGAAATTTGGGGTTATATTCCATATAAGAAACAAAAACATATGGATAACTTTATATCAAAAGAAACTGATTATCTTGTACTAGAGAAAATTCATACTAAGCTTTGTAAATTTTCACTTGGAGTTAACACAAAAACATCAAATATGGCATGTATGATGTAGAAGGTAACTAGGTTCACTCCCTACATTTTTCTATGTAATTATGAATATGATAAAATATTGGATTCATCTTATGAAAGAAATTGAACCTTCAAATATTATCCTATTGGAGGCCATAAATCTATCCCCATTCTACGAACAAATATATCCAGTAATCTTGGATAGGATTTTTTACTATTAGACATGTATTTAAAATCCTAGATTTAAACTATCTATTTGTAAACCAGTCAAATTTTAAACAAAACCATATATTAAAAATAGTAAAAAAAGACCAATATACAGTCAGGCAATAAATTAATAACTTACAGAAAATTTAAAATATTTTTTTGTTTGAACCATATTTAACAATAAATTAAAAAAAATACAGGCAAATAATTACAAGATTTAGAACTAGCTGTCATGACCTTGAAATTGAAAGAGTCAGGTAAATTGGTATAAAAGCTGAAGATAGAAAGTATAAGCTATGTAAGAATGCAGTTAAAGATGAACTACATTTTCTTTTAAAATGTCCTGTTCTAAATTATACAAGATCTCAACAGCTGTCTAATTTAAATTCTAAATTCAAAAATTTTTTCAAAGTTATCTGATGAAATGAAATTTGTTTGGATTCTTTCATCTGAAGATTTGTTTGTTACTTTAAACTTATCTTAAGTATTGCACTCCCTTTTTGAAGAACTAAAAAAATCTTCTAGCAAATATCAATTTAGTTTGAAAAATAGAAAGAAAAAAAGTCGATATGGAGTTGTCTCCCATAGACCTATGTCTATAAATTGATTAAGAAACGTATTTTCTCCAGGTCACAGTGGCTTCCAAAATGACTTAATGTTTTGTCAATGACATTGTTTATAATTATGTTACTTTGTTTAAAAGTGTATACATGTTTTTGTTAAAATGTACTTTAACCACTCTAATCATTCTAATCATTTACTGTGCTTTATTTTGTAATTCATTTGATTGTATAGCTCAAATTTTGGGCACAATGATTGGTTAATAAAATATCTTGTATCTTGTATCTTGGGTGATACTCTTCTCAGAAGTGGGAAATTTTACCTCTTTGTAAAAAGACTTATCTTCTTAAAGCTTGAAATATTACCTTTTCAAGTAGATATTTATAGTCTTCCACTCCAATGTTATATTAATAATATCTCAAATATTAACTATTGCATTAGATGTATCTAGGATTTTAAATTCTGGTGTCATGTGCTTTTGCTTTTAGGTAAATTATATATTTATATAGATTTTTAAGTTGTCCAGAAATTAGATTAATTTAGTAAATTGTGGATAATTATTTTTTTAATTGTAGGTTTTTATACGGCTTGGTTATTACCAGCTTCAATTATTGGTGTAATTGTGTTCTTATATGGTGTTTTTACAATGGCGTCTAATGTGCCAGCGTGAGTATACTGTATCATCCTATGTCCATGTTTTATCTCGCATGTTAAATCAAAACCCTACCTCTGACAGGTTTAATGTGCACTTGGTATAACGATGAAATGTTAAAATTTGATTGAACACAATTAATAGTATACTTGTGAAAATAACAGAAACTGGTCAGAACTGTTCAAAAAGCTGTACAAAAAGCAAATTTCTAATGCATCTGTACTATACTAAGATAAATGATACTGAGTGAGAATCAAAACTTGAAAGAGACAAAAACAAAAAACAAAAGACTTACAAACACAAACTACATAAAAAAAAACGGGGATGAGAGACACCAACAAAAAACTAAAGACTTACAAACACAAACTACATAAAAAAAACAGGGGATGAAAGACACCAACAAAAAACAAAAGACTTACAAACACAAACTACATAAAAAAAACGGGGATGAGAGACACCAACAAAAAACTAAAGACTTACAAACACAAAATACATAAAAAAAAAAAACGGGGATGAGAGACACCAACAAAAAACTAAAGACTTACAAACACAAACTACATAAAAAACAGGGGATGAAAGACACCAACAAAAAACAAGACTTACAAACACAAACTACATAAAAAACAAGGGATGAGAGACACCAACAAAAAACTAAAGACTAACAAACACAAACTACATTTAAAAACAGGGGGTGAGAGACACCAACAAAAAACAAGACTTACAAACACAAACAACATAAAAAACGGGGGATGATCTCATGTGCTCAGGAAATGATGAATATCCTGTTAGCTTAACTGTTTGATGATATTTTTTTTTAACAGAAATGAAGTTTGTAACAGTGCAGAAACATTTAAGATGTGTCCTATTTGTCCTGAAAATATAGGTTGCCCATATTGGTACTTATCTGATGTGTGTATCTATGTAAAAGTATCCTATTTATTTGATCATCCTGGTACTGTACTGTACGCTGTCTTTACATCATTTTGGGGTAAGTATCTCTTAGTTGTGGACTTAAAAATTGATAATTTACACCGAGGTCATTTTAAATTTATAGATATGATATGTGAAAGCATTCATGTTTCTTTGATCAATGTTAAATTCAAAGAGGGGCAAACATATTCTTGCAGGGTATTAAACTATGCACTTTTATAACTATGACTTCATGCATATTTTTGCCAGTAAAGAAATTTTCACAGGGATATAACAGTCCCTTTAAATTCAATCTCTGATTCTTCATGCATAGAAAGTAGTATTGACTCATACCAAATACTGAAAGAGAAAAGACCTATAAAGTGATAAACACTAAGGAAATATGACAGACCTGCATTTCACAGAATAAACTTATTTACACTTTTGGTATTTAGCTGAATTTTGTCTCCCAATGACCTAAGATCTGTCTCCGAATAACATTGACATCAAGCAACAATCACTTTTTAATTATGACGTCAATTTTTAAAATTGTGATGTCAAATTTTACGGGAACTTGTGTGACTGTAAGTAATGGTGGACAAATTTGCATACAAGTGTAAATATGTCTATTGGTTTGTATATATTTCTATTTTATACATAAGCAGTGTTGAATGAAATTGATTGAATGCATATATTTTTTGTTAATATATAAACCCTTTTTTATAGCTGTGACATTTTTAGAATATTGGAAAAGAAAGAATGCCAGTCTTGCTCATCACTGGGATGTATTGGACTTTGAAGAGGAAGAGGTGAGCATTTCTCTCCCCCATTAGATAATAAAAAAATATGAAAAGGGCGGTATTTAATTTAAAGCTTTATATATCTATTGTGGATTGCTGAGAGAACCTATAGACAAAGAGAAGCTCTCTCAACGTATAGATATATAGACATTAACAGCAAGCTTTGAATATGAAATTGTAATTTTCCTAAACATTAGAACCATTCACTAATTAGAATTTGAGGGAAAAATCGAAAAATGATAGATAATTTTTTTTTTTAGCATTTTTTGGAAAAACACTATGTAAAAGGTTTAATTATTTGTGGTCAATTTTATTGGTAATATTACTGTACACTTGTACATCAGTTTAATAAATAGTGGCTTGAAAAATATGATTTGATTAATCATGATCAGAATTTAAAGTTTTTTTAAGTAACTAAAAAGGTATTTGAAGACTGGCAGTAAAGGAAATTCAGGACCTCAATACTATTAGATATATAATTAATATTTCCAGGAAAGACCAAGGCCAGAGTATGTTGTCAAAGCTCCTGCTTATGAAAAGAACCCCATCACAGGTGTGAAGGAGCCACATTTCCCTGAGCGGGCCAGACTTCCCAGAATTATATCTGGTTTTGCTGCGATAACTATCATGGTGAGAGGCATATGTATTTTCTCTACTTACACCAAGATGTCGTTCAATGAAATTGGATACCCTGCATTTATCATGCTTTTCGATAACATATTGTCAAATCACTGAAAGACCCCGTCCTAAATTATTGAAAACTATCATTCTGCATTGACAATAGTATCTTGGTGTATCTATTACTTAATATTTAGAGGAAAGATTATAGGTTGAATGAGATCCAAAATATGATTATAATCTTAAGAAAACCATTTATTAAAGAAATAATGGTGTTTCTTAAACAAGTTTCATAATTCATGAGTTATTAGAAATAGGAAGGGAGATAACCAGCCATGAATAGAACTAATCAGAACTCATCATGCTCACATTTAAAAAAAAAGATATAAGAAAATCTTTAAAAGAGTGGAAATGTTGATGTTACATTGTATGTATGAAATGAGAAAAGGAGCAATTTTCCAAACCCTTGACAAGTCATTTCTTTGTCAGATATCACCTTTACTATTTTAATGACCGACTTCTAGTGAATTGTTAGACCGTATCAGTAAAAGTGGTCTGTTGAAGTATCCAGTTAACTCTATTTCAGATATTGAAAAGAATTTATTTAAAATCTACAGATATTTTTTTTTTTTGACAGAAATTAGAATTTTGAAAGTTTTGAAATATGTCAGGCAGATGGCTTTGTTTAAAAATTACATTATTTTGGAAAACATTTCATCCTCATGTGTTATGCTATTTGAAACTTATATTTCCATGAAAATCACATTTATAATATGTAGAATGGTTTTTAATAACTTAACAACTTCAGAAAATTGTTGTAAGTGGAAAATATTACATTTCATAAAAGGCCTCGCTTCATTTGAAAACCTCTATTTTTTGGCACAGGCTCATATAAAATTAACTTTTGGCCAATGTTTTATAAGTCTGATACATTCAGTATGCTATCTGTTACTTTAAATAGATGATATCTTATACTGTGGATTCATTTATTTTCGTGGGTATCAATTTTCGTGGATAGAGAAAAAAAGACGTTTCGTGGTATACGTAAATTCGTGGATTGCTGATTACAAAAAAAAAATTCAGATACGTAATTCGTGGATTTCTTTTTGATTTAGGAGATCATATAACCTCCTTGGTTTGATCAATAATAAAACAAAGAAAAAAGAAGGAATTCATTGAAAAAGTTTTGAATTGTCAAAATCCTCGCTTGGTCATTCTAGGTTAAAGTGTTCATTGAAAACTTCTATTACAATAATGGACAGAGACAAATAATTATTTGTTTGTTTTTACAATTTATAAATTCTTGTCGGAATTTTATAAGGCATTCAAAACTCTATGATTGAAAGCTCATTTCCCTAATCAGATATAATAAACAGTCATATAAGTAAAAGGTGTGAAAATAAATGTTCATGTCATAAACAATATTACCTACGGGCAATATCCCCGTACTTAATCCTATTGATTTTTTAATCACCAGTAAACCAAACTATGACACGATAATTAAGAACTTGCAGTTATTTTCCATGAAAAGTTTTAATCAATTTTAAAATGTAAATTATCACTGATATTCGATATATTTATTATTGATTTAACCAAAATACTTGTATCTTCTTTCAATAAAAACTCGTATTATGTTACAATGTTTATCGCTAGTCAACACTATACTAGAACTACATAACATAACCGGAAATAAACATCCGACTCCATACACATTTCTCAAGATTATTCTTCGTTGAATTCTTAAATTTGTGGTTCGCTGTGACCCACGAAACCCACGAAAATTGGTATACCACGAATAAAAATGAATCCACAGTACATAGAGACATTAAAAAGTGCACATTTTTGTATCTTTCTTTTTTTTGAAGCCTAAATTTGATAGTTGAAATTGTTTTATTTCAACATCACAATTTAGCACCCAAAGTTCAGATATAAAAAAGGCCACATTTTCTATAATTGATATCATATGGCTTTGAAACTGGGTAAACTGTCTCATAATACACTAAGCTTAAATCATGCCAAGTTTTATTAGAATTGGTCAAGTTTTTGACCCCTAATAGGCCCCAGACCACAATTAATGACCCTGCTTTTTGTTGTCCACAAATATAGTTCCTTGTTATTATAGTGTCTTTTTTCTTTATTTTTGTTGTCTGCCTTCCTGATTCATTTCTTAGTTTTTATAGGGTAGAAATGAAAGAAGAGAGTTGAAATAAATGTTTAGATGCATTATTTTAACTATTCAGTAGTGGGAATGAGTGATTAGGCCAGTTGCAATAGGTAACATTTATAGTTTTCAGAACATCTCTTGACTTTTCCATACCAGTATGGATGTGTTTTGGATAATTTAATGACCTGCACAGAAGGGATTTTCCTAAAAGTTGGATATAATGTGAGACTTGTACTGCACATTACACATATCAGATAATTTGCAAATTTGAAGGTTAATTTTTTTTTAATGTGAAAAAATGGTAATAAAAAAATGATAGGGAAATTAATTGTGGCCAATATATATTCTAGAAAGAATTTTGTACAATATACAATTGTTTCATTGAAGTAAAAACAAGGTGGTATAATATAAATGAATGCTTTATATACAGTGTCACTGAGAAACTGGTTATACTACTAGCCTTGATTGGTGTTCTTGACTGTCTCTTACAGAGTTCAAATTAACTGTGCCACTGGACATCAAGCAACCAATAATCAATCATTTATATGTACAGATTGTATATTAGGTTTTTTTCTGCAAAGTTATCTGCTGAAAAGAAATAAAAAGAGAAAATGTGGTATTTTGATTAATGAAAGGTATTTTTTCTGTGATTCCTACATTCTTGAGGTCATGGTAGATATTTGGACAAAATAAAGGAACAGCCACACATGGTGACAAACTGGTGTGCAATAATGAAACCAAATTGTTGGTCAAAATAAATACTGTTTTCTAATATCTATACAGCTTATCCTTAAAACTGAAAAAAGAAGTGTTTTATAAAATAATTTGTTTTCTGTTTTTCAGATTACCATTGTTATAGTATTTATAATAGCTGTCATAATGTACAGAGTTCTCGTCAGTATACCATTGTTTCAAAGTAAAACTTTACGAGGCAAAGCATCATTAATTGCCAGCATGTCATCAGCTGTTGTCAACTTAATCCTCATCATGTCACTGAGTAAAGTCTATGAAAAGTTGGCATTTAAAATGACACAGTGGGGTAGGTTATTTATCCGGATTATTTAAAAGTGTTATTTCGTATAGCTGATAGACAAAAAATTTTCAGCCAATAAGAAGACTTGTTGCATCCAAAATTAAATTATTTATAATTGATATAAATTATATAGATTTTATAAGAGAGTCAATTCTTATAAAAACAAGATGATTTTTTTGTGAGACTGGCCTTAGTTGAACAATTTACCAGTGTTGAAAAGCATACATTAAATTAAAAACTCAAATGATACTGGTGTGTGTGTTTTACAATAAAAAAACATGAATGTAATATATTTTCCCGAAGTACTTTTGAAAACATGAAAATAATTATAGTATAAAAATATTTTATTATGCTAATGATATGGAATTACACAATGCAAAATATAGATCAAGTAAACAATCAAAAGAATTATTAAGACAAAAATTATAAAAAATTAATTATTTTTAATATAATAATTTTTTTTTCATAATTTGGTTTTGAGATACAGGAACCCAAAGTGCAACAGGGATATACCGTATTAGTACATAGATTTTCATTAAATGGGCGATAGGAATATTTGACTGTGTGAATGCAAATTTATATTTTTTCTATTCTTGAAAAAAAAGAATTTTCTTGTACAAACAGGTCTTCTATTTCTCTATTTTAGAAATGCACAGAACCCAGACAGAATTTGATGATCAATTGACATTTAAAGTGTTCATTTTCCAGTTTGTCAATTTCTATTCTTCCATATTTTATATTGCTTTTTTCAAAGGGAGGTAAGTTGTTTAAATGTATAATTAATGATACATCTATGTTATATGTTATATTTCTATATTCCTGATGCTTGAATATGCAAAGTATATCTTGTGAATTAATACATTAGTATAACTCCATGTAAAATCCATTGGCTGCATGGCTTCTTTTTTTCAGCAAGTAGGAATATTCAATCAAATTACTTCCTGTTACATTAATGCAGTTAACTTAAAGTTAATGCATACTGTATGGAATGAATTTTCTTGATGAATGCATACATTTAGAAAAGGAGGAGATACATCTCTGGAACTAATTTTAAAAGCATAGTGTCATGGAAAATCCCTTTCAAAATGAGATAGCAATCCATGAAATAAATTGATTATTTTAAAGACAATTTTTTTTCTTATTACAGAAGTTTGTACAACAAAAAGTAGAGGGTTTACATAGTACCCTCCCTTAGAATCATGTAATTAACAATGTACGTCCATTTTAATTTTTTTTTAAAAGTGGAAAAAAGTGGAAATGATAATTCATTATATATTGACAATGCTTTCATAGTTTGAAATAACATATAAATGACAGCTTACTGTAAGATTTCTAAACTTTAAAAGTAACCTTTTTTTGTATTTGTATTTTAGATTTGTTGGGTATCCAGGTCATTATAATTCATTTTTTGGTTTGAGAAGTGAAGAGGTGAGTAATCTAACACTTGGGTAGAGTCTACAATTTTTTAATTACTGTAAATTCAGAAATTATTGCGAGGTTTTTATTAATGCGAATAATGCGACTGGGTGAGTATTGCAATAATAAGAACTCGCATTCTGATAACTGATACATGGACCTGTATGCAGATTTTTTTGAAATCACAATAATTAAAATCGCATTTTTGTCCATTCTTGAAAAATCGCAATAATAAATGCACACAATAATTTCTGAATTTACAGTATATACACAAAAGGCAAACACGAATTCCCAGGAAAAAAAAGTTAATGAACCTCAGAACGAGTTACTTTTAGAAGACTGTAAACAGACTTTTGAAACTCCTCTTGAAAAGTTTTACAATTGCTCCACACTGACATTTGACTACTCATAATAATATTAAGATAAGGAAATGTGATATGATAGCTAATGAGACAACTATCCACCGAAGTCCAGATGACGTTGATGTAAAAACATCAGAGATATCTTGCTTATAATTTGGAAAGCTAAACACACATTTGGTCTACATCAGACTTCTCAGTGGCACTATGATAAAAAAAGTTTGAAGGCCAAATGAAATACGAAGTTGAAGAGCATTAGAAACAGAAAATTCTGAAAAGTTGAGCCAAATACAGCTAAGGCAATCTACACCTTGGGTAAAAAAAATTCTGTTTTTTCAGTTGTCTAACTTTTATCTGATGAAAAAATAGCTGACAAAAAATTTGTAGAACTGCTCAAACTGTTATTAAAGGGAGACAACTCAATTTTATTCTGAGTGAATGTGTTGTACTGAAATAGTAATATTCTTGGTGCACAGGAAGTAACAAGAGATCTCTTCTTATTTGAAAAAAGTTAGGTTTCAAAGAATAAATCTGTCTCATAAAAATTCACAAAATGAAAAATCAAATTAAGAAAATTCCCATGTTGTTTGCAACAACTTTGCTGAACATTTAAGCTATTTTCATACGCCCGTTTATTATATGCCCATTTACGGGATATTTTATGGTATACCATTGTCCGTCTGCCAGTCTGTCGTCAACATGTCGGAAAAAAACTCTGGCGAATTGTTTATATCTATTGACGTGAGCTCCCTTTTGATTTTGATAGATTTTAGATTTTACGTTTCCGAGTTATGGGTTTTTTTTTCCATTAAAAAAGGGAGATTTTCCAGTTTTCAGACAATAACTCAAAAATGCTTTGAACAGTTTTCGTGAAACTTTGATGAATTATTTATATCTATTGACATAAGCTCCCTTTTGATTTTTATAAATTTTAGATTTTACGTTTCCGGGCTATTCGATTTCATTCATAAAAAAAGGGGGGATTTTCCAGTTTTCAGACAATAATTCAAAAGTGCTTTGAGCAGTTTTCATGAAACTTTGGTGACTCTTTTATATCTATTAAAATAACCTCCCTTAATTTTTTTTTATAAATTTCTGATATGACATTGAGGAGTTATGGAACTTTATTCTTTGAAAAAGCGAAGGGCTTATCATGCGCTCATGGCGCAGCTCTTTATTAGTTAAGTTATCATGTATGTTTAAAATTTGATATTTATTAAAGGTCTCGGGGTAAATATATTCCTACATGAAAGACAAATTTTAGTGGCAAAGCAAAACTTGATGATATGAACTAATACATCGTCATTGATTTTTAACATTACTGTTTTCATTTCTATAAGTTATCCTTGTCACAACTCTATGTCTGTACTTAAAGGTATCAACTAACAAACTGGTGCTGAGAAAGGGAGAAACCATGGCAATCGGGAATGGGACCATTACCAGTAACACATTAAATCTTAAAAAGAGTTATTACTCCTACTGCCACCAAGCAATAGGTTAAATAATAACATCAACAGACCAATTTTTCTCCACCAACTTGTGTCCTAGTGGTTTGAAGGGTTTTTAAATAGATTCTGTAAAAAAATGATGCACTTCGATAACTTACTAAAAAAAATCTAACAAAGAATTTGCTATTACTATAATTCTAATCTCAATATTACATTTCAGTGCAATAATGGTGGTTGTCTAGTAGAATTAGCTCAGCAATTAGCTGTTATTATGATTGGTAAACAGATGATAAATAATGCACAAGAAATAATAGTGCCGTAAGTAAAAAATACCTCGAGAGAGTAATATCTCTCCTTAGCTATGATTGTGATCAAAATGAAGAATGATATACTGGAAAAACCATCAAAATTTGAAACAAAAGCCCCCCCCCAAAAAAAAGGCTGATGACCAGGAGGGTCATTGTCAAAAAAAATATTGAACAGCAAAGAATTTGAAAAAAAACGCCAACTAAAATAAGGATAGAATGATTACTACTACTGGATGTTGTGGCTTTTTGGTTGTTTTTTTAAATTGTTCTTGATTTCTGTACTTTATTGCTAAGACTGCTTCACCATATGGCAAAATCCTAGATACTTTATGCATATAATTTGCACCACGTGACCTGGGCCCTTTTGATTAAATTACTTCCCTTAGTTGTAAATTGAAAACATAAATTTTATCAAATTTACAGATAATTCAGTCTTTTTCCATCTTGGATCTAAAACTAATGTGTCTTTGAAAACTTCCTTTGGTGGATATTTACAAATATGTTGTGTAATTCTTTGGGAAAATGCTGTAAATTTGACTATTTACGAAATGGGCAGGATGAAATCATCATGTTTTTAAAAGAATTTGGCAGAAAACTTAAGAAAGCAGGTAAGATAAAAGATGTTTAACCTGAAAATTCAACCTGCAAGGTATTTCCCTACATGCGAACAAATCATGAACAACCTCTTCTTGTTTCTTTATATCTATGATGAATTTTGCTTTTTTACAATTTTTTGTTATTTCATATATATATTATACTACGGTCACGCTTCCAATTTTCAAACTGAATAGGCCGAAAGTTTTCCAAGTAGACAATGTTCATTGTACACGAACAGAAGGCAAAAAACATGTAGAAGTCATCCATATGCGAACAAATTGTTGATTCAACCTAGGAATTGGCATATTTGCATTTTTATTAAAGAGCATGTATAATCCTATTGCAATGACTGTCGTCATGATAAGGCAATATGCAAATTAGCAAAGTACCCCAAATTTTGCCATATGACAACAGTTAAGTGTTATTTGAAAAAATACCCTTAACTCTTGGTTAACCTCAGTTATGAAAAGAGGTAATAGTCAACTGTAATGGTAAATAAATATTCATTCTAATATGGTTTTTTCACATATGACTGTCTTAATATTATTTATCTTTTCCTACTAACTTTTGCCATTATTTTGATTTCAGAAAACTGAAAACATTTATACATCATCTGAAAATAAGTCTGGATAAGAATGCCATAAAAACTAGATGGGAAGAGGACTATAACTTAATAGACAGTCAAGGCTTGTTTGATGAATACTTAGAAATGGGTAGGTATTGATACTTAGAGTGAAATGTCGGACACACAGATAAGATGGTCTGATTCTATCTAATAATTATACCCCCGCTTTAAAAAAGTGGGGTATACTGTTTTACCTCTGTCTGTCCATCTGTCCATCCATCCGTCCGTCTGTCCATCCATCTGTCTGTCCATCCATCAATCCATCCGTCCATCCCATGAATATTTTTTGTCGCATCTTTCTCAGGACCTACACTACAAGGATTTCTGAAATTTGGTTTCAGGATTTATATAAGTCAGCTATACCGTGTGATGCGTTTTCAGATTCATCACTCAACAACTTCCTGTTTACCATCAAGTATTTGGGCGGAGGTATCATCAGTGAGCAGTAGCTCACAGTTTCACTTGTTTATCATATAAGGTTATTCAACTTAAATGTCAAACTAATGAGGGATTATTTTCTTTCAAAAACATATTTCAAAACCCGTATTTCAATATATCAAAAAGAACAGAAAAACAAGAAGACGATTATATTAAAAATTACAAAAGTTGGTTAAAGTTCAACTACAATTATGACCGCAGAAAGGAAGATAACTCCAATTCAAACGTGTTCCATTCTGCTTAACCCAAATAATTCAGGCCCTCGAGATAGGTAAGTCCTGAGCTAATAGAAAATGACTAATTAACCATCTTTTAATCGACTAGGCTTTCATGAATCAGGTTTTTTTTTTAATATAGTATTCAAGTTTGGTTATTGTTGAAGGCCATTCACTCTTGTATTACAGTGCAAGAAGATATTTTTATACATACAGGTGAAATTCTCACAGAAAATAAATTTCATTTTCATGGTTTTACTTTCAGTTTTACAGTTTGGATTTATAACAATATTTGTAGCAGCTTTTCCACTTGCTCCTTTATTTGCTTTGTTAAACAACTGGGTAGAAATTCGACTGGATGCACAGAAATATGTATGTGAAACGAGGAGACCAGTGGCTGATCGGGCACAAGACATTGGAGTCTGGTTTTCTATACTGGATGGCATGGCTCAGTTAGCAGTTATAAGTAATGTAGGTTCCAAAAAATAACTATGAATAACTATTTCTTAAACTTAGATGTAATGGTATGAAAAAGTCACATTTCATTAAATTATGATTTTTAAATGTGTTCTAAAAATTCTCTATTATAAGAATTAGAGGGGTATATTAATTTATTAACCTGTCAGTATGTCTATCTGTTAGTTCATGGCTCATCTTGGGTTCCAGATGCTAAATACTTTATATTGGATTGCAACCTTTCTTGGAGATATACACATATAATGAGGAGGCCCAACATCTAGTCAGAAATCAGTGCATGAAAGGATTTCAAAGATTATAACCAAGGCTAGTAAAAAGTTGTCAGACCAGTAAAATATAAATTTAAAGAGATTTTATGACAGTCTGGTCTTCCATCTTGTAAGTCAAAAAGTTGTTTTACAAAGACTGCTGTAATTTTACTTTTGACTGTTTTTATCATTGCAGGCATTCCTTATAGCCTTTACATCAGAGTTTTTACCTAGACTATTATATCAGTTCCAGCATGATTCTAATTTAGAGGGCTATACAGATTTCTCTTTAGCTGTCTCTCCAAATGGTACAATGAATCAGACTTGCAGGTAGGCTTCTTGAAAAAGAATGAATTAGAAAAAACAAAACAAAGAAAGACCTGAAAAAGTTGTATATACATGTACAATGTACTGTTAATTCAGAAATTATTGCGAAGTTTTTATAAATGAGAATAATGCATTTGGGTGAGGATTGCTATGATAAGAACTCACATTCTCGTATCTGATACATATATCTACATGCAGATTGTCCTGAAATGGCAATTATAATTAATCTCACATTTTTGTCCATTTTTCAAAAATTGCAGTGATACTTGCAATTATATCTGAATTTACAGTAACCCTTTTGTTGCCTTTTTGGCTCTTAGCATAGTTGATAATTCATATTACACGGTAGGTATACTTGGCTCTTTTTTAGTTAAAAATCAATGTTTACAAAATTAGGTGAACTAAGGCATTCACCCTACTGATCAATGTTAAATGAACAAAAAAAACTTCCAAAAAAAATTGTTGACCTCATTAATATAAATTGCAATATATAAAAAGCATTTTCCAAAATTATAGATGAAATTTTTTTTTCAAATTTAATTAATCAATGCTTGTTCTAAAAAATACCTTAATTTATAAATATACAAACAAACTTAAATCATATCTGAAATTTTTTTTAGAATTTAATTACCCTCAGTTTGCCTGTCCATTTCAAATTACATGTACAAGATTTTAGAAAGTTGTTAAAGATCAACTTTCTCTTTGTATTTGATAAAAAATAATCTGTTTGGTTTGACATTTTTGAAGTGACAAAAATTCTATTGACAATAAAACCTTTTCCATGTTTTAGATAAAAAAATAATTAACCATATTTTTCAAAAGTAATTTTTTGACTTGCCTGAAAACTGCATTACAGAATTTACTATTTTATAAAAATAAGAAGATGTGGTATGATTGACAACTATCCACTAGCGATCAAATGATGTTGAAGTTAGCAATAAAAAACAAATACCAGCTTTTAATTGTTAATTCTGGAAAAGGGTAAACTTTTAATTAGACTTCAAGTATGACTAATGGCAAAAAAGATATTGCTTAACATTTGACAATGTATGTGAATTAATTTGTTTGATGAATTTTAGGTATAGAGATTTTCGAGACAAAGAAGGCCATTATACGTTATTTTACTGGCACTTATTAGCCTTTAGACTAGGATTTGTTATTGTATTTGAGGTAAGATATTGTTTTGGTTAAATAGTTTCAAAAGAATTTTCACACTGCAATCGAAAAGTCCAAATTTATTCTGTAATATTGATGATGGAGATATTTTTTACAGAAAATTGCAAATTGGTAAAATATAATTTGACTAGGTCGTTGTAGAAATACAGTAAACCAACTTATTTTTTGCAAAAACTTTATTTAATGTTTATCCCTTTCTAGCTGACTTTGCAGCATTTTATTTTTTATGGTTTTGAACTTTATTGATACATGTATATAAGAGGATCAAAGAAGTCAGTGAAAATGGACATCATACTTTTAAGTTTAACATGTTTGCGACAATTAATACTCTTGTTATATTTCTCTCGCAATATTTAGTTAGATTACAGTAGTTTCTAGAGAAGGATGTTGTATTGCATCAGATTACCATTGAAATTGATGTTTTAAGAGGGATAATATTAAAACCAATGAACCTTAAATTGTATGACAAAACTTAAATAAATGTAAAAAAAATTAATTTTTGGAAGTACCTTTACTATTTTTATGCCTAGGCGAAAGGATCATTAAGTGTAACCCTTGACTGTCCGTCCTTCTGTCCGTCTGTCCATTCTTCTGTCCTTCCATCCGTCCATCCCTCAGTCCATCCATCCGTCCCATGAATATTTTTCGTCGCATCTTTCTCAGGAACTACATCATAAGGATTTCTGAAATTTGGTTTTAGGGTTTATATAAGTCAGCTATACCATGTGATGTGGTTTCTTGTATAACATGATTTGACAAGTGTAATTGATTGTGTTCAGTAAATGCCAGCCTTCATGCTTAACTTTTGAGTCCACAAGCCAGAAGCTCAATTTTTGAAAAATTTTAGTTGGATTCTGTTGGCTTGTAGAGAAGAATTTTACAAGCCCGAAAGCACTTTTACAAGCCAATGCCGTAGGACTTGTGGTTAAGCTTGAAGACTGATTTAATGCCCATAGTCTCTATTGAAATTTCAGGTCAGCATATGATTTTCAACAGTAGATAAGTGTATTAAAAAAAGTTATGTAAATTGAACAGAGATTAATACCCTTTTATATATATAAAAAAATAGGATATGGGATAAATATGCACTGGACAACAAAAACTCAAGCATGTATAAGCAGATATAAGCTAAGATTAAGGTAGCTTTTAGCATAGATATATAAATATCATGTCATAAATACAAATGGTAAGATATATAAATATCATAAATATAAATGGTGTTTGTTGTGTATTGTAGCATGTAGTATTTGGTTTTTGTCGACTGATAGACTTTATGGTACCAGATGTACCTGAGGCTTTAGAGATAAAAATAAAGCGGGAGAGATATCTGGCTAAGCAAGCACTAGCTGATACAGACACAATCATGATGGTTAGTATAAAATACCCATTTATTGTAAATTGAAATCATCCAAATTATGAATGTTTAAAAAGTGTGGAAGTTTTATAATTACGGTAGTCTTTGAAATAATTAAAAAGAGATTAAGATTGGTAAGCATAAATACATTAATTAATGTTAAACACTGCTTTATTGAACTACTTTTCAATTTTCTCTTTCAAGAAGTGTACAATAATTTTTAATAACAAGATACTTTTCATTTACAAATTAAACTCACTTCGGAAGGACTTAGTTAATGAACTTTTTCAAAAATATGTCCAAGATGTTCTGGTCAATTATAGATGGACAACATTTGTAGGAAACTGAATATCTTTTGATGGATACTGTGGATTCATTAATATTCGTTGGATACCAATTTTTCTTGGATTTCGTTGGTACAGGGGAACCACGAATTTAAATGTTCAACAAATTACAAATTTTCTAAAGGAATGTATGTAGCTTTTGCCAAAACCACAAAATTAAATGAATCCACAGTAAATAATTAATTTTTAAGGTTTTTCTCAGAAAAACACGGCTTAGCAATTTTGTTATAAATGAATAAACATGTATTGATAAATTAACTCCACCCCCCCTCATCCCCAAAAAAAATCTAATGTTCAAACTTTTGAATCAGAACGAATCCTCAGACGCTGAAGAGGAACTAGATGATGATGATAATGTAGTTGATGTGGAAGTGAGTTTAAATGTTGTCATTTCAGTGACCCCAATGTTAGATAATATGATTATTATCCTCATGTTGTACAGTATTTAAGGACTGAATTGTAGTAGTGTTTCAGCTTGAATGAGGTACTTTGGAACCCCTTCCATTCCTGTATTCATCACATATGATTTTTCTCATACCTTGCCATATGAATTGAAGAATTAGGTTAGAGGGAGAGAAATTAGGCACTCTTTATAGTTAATCATGGAATATAAATCAAAGATAATAATGTTAATTTTTCCAAGGTGTCAACAAAATTTTATGTGAATGAATGCTTGAAGGAGTCCATGGTACCCCTGTTTATGATCTATAGATGTTGATTTTGAAATGTCTGTATTTGCCTTCATATAATTTTATTTTCAGCATGTGCTCCTGTCAAAATGTATATCAGTATATATTTATTGTTTTTTCTGGATGAAAATACTTAACTCTTTTAGCCATTTGTTTTGTTGTTTATGTAAGCCAACTGAAAACAGTTTCATTCCCAGTTATGTGGAGAAAATAGTTTTTTCATCTAGTTATCTATATCTAAAAAAATATTTTTGCATTAAAACAAAAGGAATTAGAAGACCATATTACAGAAGTGTAGTAAGTTAAAAAGCACATGGAGCCTGTCGTTTTACACATAGTTATTATTTTTTTACATCTGTATCACTGATCATTTTTTATTAACATTTTCGTTTTGAGACGCTTTTGTTGTAATGAGCCAAATCTTCAAAGAAAACAGCTATGCTACTGACAACTATATCACTAACAGCTGTCAGACAATCTTGATCTCTACTGTGTGTGAAAAAAAAAATCAAATCACTAAGTCAAATTTAAAGCTTGAAAACAAATTCTATGTGTTTGACAAATATTAATCCAATTGTCCAATGTATTATCCTCATTTTACTCAGACTGACTTCTCAAATAGTACCAGGGTATCTTTGAAGTGGCGTAATATTTCTTCTATAATTTGTGGTTTATGTATGCATCTCAGCATATCAGAAGGTATAAATTATTATGCATGTTTCAAAATATAGTCATTCACACAATACATTAAGAATATTTTTTTTTATTTGATTAAACACGATGAGGACACTTGATTGCAAATTTTTTTTGCTGCATTTTTTTTTTCAGCTGTTTTAAAGTAAATTTGTATATTTTCTATGTGTATTCACCACTGAGTGATAGCTTTTATATGTTGTCTGCTAAAAGCTTAAAACCATGGTGGAAAACATAATTTTTTTTCAAATAGTATCAGAGAAAGTTAACATTTGAATGATATTCTATGCAAGTTATTTTTGTATGAAGATATAGCCTAATGTATATATCTATTGTAAATGAATTTTCTATATAATCTATATGCAGTTTATTTATAGCTCTTAATTAGTACTTAGAAAATGATTTTTTTTTAAATCATTCACTATTTCATGTTGTGTTTAATATTTTTTTTAGATAAATGTTTGAAAAACATTTTTTTATGAATTTTTTATGTCACAAATGAAACATTTTTAATTTAGAAATTACCATTTGAAATTTCTACAAAGAAAATATATAATCGTAATAGCATTCATCATTGACTCCTTGTTACAGTATGAATATAGAAATCTACTAGCTTTAGATTAATATGGATATTTACCTTGAACCCGACTTGAACTAAATAAAATATATTTTTGGTAATTAGTTTGAAAGTATAATATAATAAAATCTAGACTTTGCATAATTTGTCATTCCAATTAAAAAAAAAAAAAAAGAATTTAGGAAATCTCTTTCCATATTTTTGCTGCTTATCAGATATGCTCATGTCTGCAAACTCCCAAAAACAAAGCAAGATGACACTTGGAGGCATGAATACCAAAATAACACCTCAGGACAATATGTGTTTAATCTTTAATTTGTAATCACTAAAAAAGAGGTTTTTAAATTTTAAGATTTAAAAACTTTATTCCGTCTGTTAAAATTTAATACATTGAGTATAAAAAAAGCTGTTACAAAGATTGCATACACTTACATACAGCTGTCAAACTTCATTTCCTACGTCATAACCTTACACATATGGAGTTGTAAATCTTATCAAATTTTCAATCATAAGTAGATTGTTTTTTAGCTCACAACTGGCCCCTGGGAATCGACTTTGCTAAGGTAAACCAAACTTGACAAGAGTGATGGACAGTGGATTCATATATTTTCGTGGCTATCAATTTTCGTGGATTGAGGAAAACTTACATCTTGTGGATATTTGCTTTTGTTGTTTTGCAAAAGTCTGCATACATTTTTATAGGAAATTTGTAATTGATTGAACATTTAAATTCCTGGTTCCCCAATTGGTATCCAACTAATAATGATGAACCAGTATGCAAGGTTCACTACAACTAATTAACTAACTTAGTTGGTTCCAAACAGATTAAAAAAAAACATTATCAGCAGAGACAATTTTTGATTCTGATTGGTCACTTTTTAAAAAATCTTTTCCTCATCTGAAACTACATTGAAAAATCCTTTGAAATTTTAGAGGATTAAACGATAGGAAACCTTCTACAAAGGATACTTGTGGATCTTAAACATCATGCACCATTACCATGGAAAAGTATTATTTCTCTTTAATAACTGAAACTATGTCTCCAATTTTAATATTGATGATTCCCTCTATAAATTATCCTCATTTAAAGTTGATGAGGTGGCATACATTGAACATTAGTGGTAAATTTCTTCCTATTGAAACCCTTTTCATATTCTTCTCAGAAACTACTTTGCCCATTTTAAGCAAACTTTTCCTGAGTTTATCTATTATTTTAATGTTATTCCTATGGGTAAATTGATAACATAAAGTTTCAGTAAAATTAACCTAAACTGCATATTGATAAAACTAGTTAAAGTTTCAAATGTAATGCAATAGAATTTAAGTGGATTTTTCAAAATAGACTTATTAAAACAAGAAAATTTTCTCCGATTTTGACTATCAATTCTCTTGAAATTAAAGTATTGAGAAATTAAAGTATTAAGAAATTTATGCTGTATCTAATATTTTTTACTACAGGTACTGTCAGCATTTACTCATCTGAAGAACTTAGATATTATTTTGGTATATTATCAAAGTACTAAAGGGTACATCTTACTGAAAAAGGGGGCGTCGGTGGCCATGTGCTCTTGGTAGTTTCTCTACAGTGATCACTGTAAACACTGAGATATTGAGTGTGAATCCCATCATCTTATACTCCTACCTTAATTTGTCTAGAATTGCAAGTTTACCTGATAACGGTGGGTGGTTCTCTCTATGTACTTTGGCTTCCTCCACCAATCAAAACTGATCGACATGATACATTATATAACTGTATTATGTATTTTATTTTGTTTGCATTTTTTTTTTCTATTTGTATTAATAGTTTTTGAAGGCCTCAGGGAAGATTAACATGTCATTGTTAAATGAGTAACCTTCGTTAAATAAAGAATTTTATTATTATTTATTATTATTATCATAGCCAAAAGTGCTGAAAGTGGTTATAAACACCAAAAAATCAATCAATCATTATTCTGAAAAAAGTTATGTTATGATCAATACCCTATAATTTTACAGGCAAATGATTCATTAAGCCATCTAGAACATTTTCTTTGTATAATGATCATAAAGCTTTAAAAATATGGCATTAATTTCACAGTTTATATTTTCTGTTTTTCATTTTACAGATGGCTCGTGGATTAGATGAAGAAGAGGATGATCTGGAGAAAATATCAGTAAAAGTTGATAGCACTATAAAGACAAGTAAAAAATCCTAGCAGGAAGGACAAGTAACGCTGAGCTACTTCTCAAACTATCCAATGTACGAAAAATTCTGGGGTTAATGTATTGCTTAACATACAATATAAACAGAACCAAACAATATTTACTGGACAAAACATTGCAGTGTGAAAATTTTATCAGATATAAATCTGATTTGAATAAGTAAAGAATTACTTATCACTGAACCAAAAAAAAAATTTTACTGGAATTTTTCCAGTTTTTATAGACTAACGAGTTCAGTGAACAAATACCAAGACAAAGCTTTTTTCCCTTGAGAACAAAGGAAGTATGTAGATGTTTTTCCTATATGACATTTTTAACATATGCAGTAAAACCTGCATATACAAAAATACAGATTATGTCTTCTAGAAATTATTTAATGATTGTCCAAATTGAAGACTAGGAACACAAATGTCATTGTCTGATTGGTCATTGTTCAGAATGGTAGGAAATCAGTGGGAAAGGTTTATGTGTCATACATTGTTTGTCAGTTACAGGATAAACTGACAGTTTAAACATTCAATATCATCATATCATTTGTATTATCTTAAAATGTCTCATTATTTTGGTTTTTTTTTCATGTGAGAATGGGTCAGACATTGTTAAAAGATGTGTTTTGTTTTTATTGAAGGTTGTTACATTTATTATTAACTTTTCAAATTTTATGTCTGATTGAGAAGAGTGGTAATCAGTGATGTTTTAATTTTTTTTATACCAAATTTGGTTTATTTAATTTATTTGTTTCAATGGAGCTGCCTGAGTGGGGTGGGGTCCTGTTTTAGTGAGTGGGGTTCTGAAAATACTCAAATATGAGGCCAATTCCTTACTGAAATATATGAAGAAACAATTTGATTTATAGTTCCTTGGATTGTTACAGGAACAAATATATACTGAAAAAAACCCAAGAATCTTGCTGTCAAAAATGAAGAATGCAAGTGTCAAGAAAATTTCTCACATTTTGTACAGAGATGAATTCCATTTTGCTTTTTAGCTGATTTTTGCTACAGTCAGTTTGGTTTTATCTTGAAAGATGTCTTTATCATACATAGTGATTGTCTATGTTGCTTTTTATTAGGTAACAAAAATCATGCCTTTAAAGTCTGACATTACTTATTAAAGTATTTTTGATATCTATAGATCTTCCATATGTAAGGAATATTGCAAGTTTTTCACCCAAAAAATCCTTCACAAATCTCCACTGAAATAAAAGAATATTTTGGTTGGGCATAGTCTCTTATATAGTCACAAATTATAAGTTTATAAAATCATGATATCATATTTGTAGTCCAAATATAGTGTATTGAAATTTAAAAGGTTTCAAACTATTGTTTTAATTATATGAGTGGTTGTATTATAGTTATATCTAGTCCAATACTAGCAAGTTCTCAACTACCTGATATTGGATTTAACATATTGAATTTTTTGACCGTGGTATACAGAAATGAATTGTTGAGACAAATGTCATTTGACTACTGTAAATTCAGAAATTATTGCGTGCAGTTATTATTGCGATTTTTGAAGAATGGACAAAAATGTGAGATTAATTATTGCCATTTCAGGAAAAGCTGCATACAGATATCTGTATCTAATATCAGAATGTGAGTTCTTATTATTATGATAATCACCAAGTCGCATTATTTCCATTGACAAAAATAATTTCTGAATTTACAGTATATAATCTGAGCACTTACAATTTGACTTATATTTGGTCAAAGGATATGCAAAGTTTCTTATCGACTTGATGTTATCATTAATATTTGTCCATATCACATAAAGATCTTTGTATTATTAAGGAATAACTGTAAAAAATTTTCTGTCTATGAAGAAATAACATCAAAAATGTGGTGCACACTGAATAACCCCCGTAGCGTGTTATTTTAAAGTGTGCACCACATTTTTTATGTTATTTCGAATAGACAGAAAAAATATTACAGTCATTTCTTATAATTTAATTCTAAATTCCATTTTAAACCGTAGTAAACCATGAAAAAATGTTGATGACGTCACGGTCACATGACAAAATTATGTCTATGAGCTGATAAACAAAACAACGTCAGCCAATCAGAAGACGCGTTACATCCACAATTAAATTATTGACCAGATATTTTTCATGGATTTCCTTGAATGTTTAAAGTATAATGCTTGAAAGCCACTTTACAAGCTATTACTTCATTATTGCATCATAATAATATGGAGGTTTTTTCTAAGCTTATACTTTGTTGTTCTATAAGTTAACCATTCCATAACTTCTGTTGAATAATTTAATGAATATTAATGAAACTTCATATTAAAGAGATCCATATACCAGGAACTTTAACATATTTGTAATTGGTCGAGCTAGCATTTGCTCCTCAGAGCTGATATGCATAAAACTACTTAATTAAGATTTGTTCCAAACGGACAAATTTTTCTACATGTCCTACGATAAATTAATGCTATGATTGGATATTTTAACTTTGAGCTGTTCCATTAAAACATACATGGCACGCAGGGAAGGCACTTTGAAAATAGGGTAACCAACTAAAGAGGCAATTTAGAATTTCTCTTTACATTTTCACTGTTCAAAATAATTTTAACACCGCCCCATAAGTTGAGATTTCAAAGTGCCTTCCCTGGGTCCCATGTTTGTTTTTATGGAACAGCCCTTAAGTGGTTTTATGCTTATCAGTCCTGATCTGCTCATGAAATAGTGTTCTGAATATGCATGAAATTTTGCCATTGGATATTAAGCAAACTACAATGACTCAATTGGAGAAAGTGCTAGTATTTTCATTTGGAAAGTATATGATGCTTAATCCTCCTGAATAATGCTTTTCACCGGATTAGATAATATTTGTAATGTTTGACAAAAATCCATTTAAAATGGTTACATAACCTGTAAAATATATATTTTTTGTATGAATAAAGGCTTATATCAATGACGTATAATTTCTGAAGTTGTGCACATGCTATTATGGAAATTTTTGAAGAGTTTATTAACATATTTTCAGACTTTGGGACATAGTTATTTTCCAGCAAAATTTACAAAACAGGGTATCTGATATTGTAATCATCAACTAACATCCCTCAAACATGCTTCATTGATTAGTCACAAATATTGCAACTAGGCTATTTGAGACTTTGACCCATTTTTACATTTTATTTTAATGATCAAGTTTTAAAAAATATTGCATAATACAACTTGTAGTGAATCTCAAATTGCATGTATTTCTTGTTGCATAATAATCTAATTTTGATTTGTGCATATCCTAAATGTTTTTTGCCAAATTTGATTAATTAACAACTGTTAAAGCTCAAAATGATTTCCTGTAGAAACAAGTTTAAAATGTTTTAAATACAATAAAAAGGGCTTATTTTAAATCTGTTTGTAGAACATGTTATTGTACACAAGTACTTATTGCCTTGTACATTAATTATATGGGTGACAATTTTGTTTACTATTCCTGGGTTGTCATTTGTACACTCTAGCTATCTTTCTATATTGACAGGGTCATTTTCTTCATGGGAAAGAAGATTTTGTTTACTATTCCTGGGTTGTCAGTTGTACACTCTAGCTATCTTTCTATATTGACAGGATCATTTCTCATGAGAAAGATGAGGTATGATAGGAGCCATTATCTCAGGCCCCTGAAATTGCAAAAATAGTAAAATTATTCAAGCATTTCAAAATTATCTTAATTTTATTTGTAAACCATTGTGATTTTTCTTCATGAAAATTTTGCAATTGCTTTAAATAGATTTGGCATTTTCCACAGTAGTCATGCAAGGATTACTATATTAAATGTGTGCATTCATTTCTAAATTTAAAGTATAATCTAATTATCTTGATCTTTACAAAAAAAAATCCAAAGCTACATGTTTTATTGTTTTGTGAATCTAACTATATCCATCCATCTGTTCATTTATTATCTTCTTTCATTACATGATATCAGTGGACACCTCCAAGGAGACGTGTTTCCCTCAGCTTTGTCTAGAAATCAGTAGATTTTACTCTTCATTACCATCATTAGAATAATTCATTAAACAATATCAAATACTATGATCATAACCATTGCAACCTGGTCTATGAGTCTCTGATCTTTCTTTATTTATTGTTTACACCTAAAGTATTTGGTTGGAGTTTTTTTACAATTCTTTGCCAACCATTTCAGACATTGTTATTTTATTTTTGAATTATCTTTTTTAAGATAGTTTTTTTACAATAGTTGACATGCATCTGATCTAAAATTGCAAATAAACCATATATCATTCCGATATAGAATTAGATGTTGTAAAGAAATGAACAGTTCTGTCTTGTTTTTTTTAACTGAATTGTAGTATGTATATGTTTATTTGCTTTTTATAAAACATGTTCAGTATGTCTTATTCTCTTTTTTCATATTTTGTTGTATTTTATATAAAGTTTTTTATGATTGATCTTGTTTTATTTACGTATCTTAAGTATCTCTTGTAATGTTCTTGTCACATTCCTGTCTATTACAATCATGTGTCTGTTATTATTAACTTACAAATGTTATAAAGAAATAAAGAATTTCTTTACTCATATATTAGACTTTATCTATATTTGGCCTTGTAAAATGACCTGAAGTGAACAAGCCAGATCAAATAGGGTCCCTAATGTGGCTGTATAAGTTGAGTTTGTTTAGCCATAGCTAAAATGGACGCTGAAAATTCAGAAATTTTTGTGATGTTATTATTATTGCCGAAATTGCAATGGGATAGGTTTCATCAAAATTAAAATTGGCATTTAAATATTGATTTGCTATTTATATAAATTAATAATTTCCTGATATCGCAATAATTAATCTTGCATTCTTATTCATTGTTCAACAATCACAGTAATAAAAAATTCTACATTTATAATTATGCAAAGGTATTGATATTTATACTTTCATATTGAATAAACTTATCACAGAATACATCACTACGAATCTAAGATACAGTCAGTGTTCTCCCCAGGCCCCACGGTCCTACAATTTCCGAGCGTGGTTCTATCAGTCCTTGCGAGGTCCTATATTTCTGTTCCGCAGTGCTATGATTTTTGGTAAAAATTATGATCGATGCATATATCTAATTTGTCGCCTTGATTACCCTGGTGCTATCTAAAAATCCTGGGGAGAACACTGTACAGTAGCTCAATAATTTAAGAGTGCAGCCTATTGAAAAATGTAACATTTTCACCATGCATCTGCCATTAATAACAATTTCTGTATGGATTAGTTCCTGACTTCGTACTGACACATGAACATGCATTGGGGTTCAATTAGATTTTTTGTGACAATTAGAATATCTTGAGCAGTAGAATACAGAGAGTACACAGAGACAATAAAAGTAAATCACGGAAAGCAATAATTGAGGTATCAATAACAACAATAATTAGCCTACATAAAAAACAACATTTGACAATACGCTAGAATAAAAGGATGCTCACAGGACCGGAAAGCAAGCATAAAATACAAGCTTTTATGTAAGCATGACCCAAATCAGCCAAACATGAAAAGTTAGTGAGACAAGCCTATTTTTGCCTGAATGGAGACCTAACTATGAAAAAATATAAGAATATAATCTGAGTAGACAATAAACTAGAGGTTTCAAGGAACCTGTATTGGTCACCTGTTATTTTTGCAAAAAAGTGATGCAATGATAAAAATGTTTTTGAGATTTTCTGGCAAAAAAGCTTGATTTGGGTAAAAAATGTCATTTAACAACAATAACTTTTATAATGAGCCAACAACTTTGGCCAAGCTGACTCTATGGTTAAACTTGTCCTACTGATAATTTTTGCTATTTACATTTTCTATCTACTGTAGTTTCTACAAAAATCACCAAATTGGATAAAAAATGTCTTTCAAGGGCCATAACCCCTGTAAGAAGTTGACTGACAATTTTGCTTATTTGTAGATTTTGTCCTGCTGATCATATTTAATGTTACAGTTTCTCTCTATCTACTATAGTTCCATTAAAAAACACTAAAATTGGTAAAATTAGTTTTTCAATGGCAAAACAATATCTACTAACAATTTTACCATGTTGACATTTATAGATCTTGTCCTGCAAATATTTTTTTTTTTCATTTTCACTTTAAACACTCTAAGAGTTGTGGTTTACAGATGATAAATGAAGGAAGGCTTAATAAAATGGTAATAAATTTCAATGTTATATTTAGGAACCTTTAATAGTTTAAAATCTATTATATAATTATACTCATGAGTATAGAGTGATGTCTGTCCAACACATACTTGGTTTCCAGTTAATAATTAAAATAAAATTTTGTCCATATCTGTTTAACATTTTAACACATTATCATGGACGGTATAAACTACAAGTTAAGTTTTGCTTTTGGTGGATTTGATATTCACAATTTACAATTATGACTCTTAGATTTAAGAAATATGGAATTTTTCAGATTCCTGATTGCTACAGTCTGAGGTAGCACTAGATCACTTTTCTAGTTTTAACTTTATACCCCAAGGATGACTGTGGTTCCAATTGCCCCAGTAGTTCATAGGAGAAACATTTTGAAAAAGTTATCAGACAACAACAGACTCCAAGTGATGCTGTATATTATATTTGTTTTTCGTTTGTTGTTATGTACATAAATCATGCTGTTGGTTTTCTGTTTTGAATTGTTTAGGTTTTGTCATGTCAGGACCTTAATTTTAGCACTATCTATGGGTTTTGCCAATTGTTAAAGGCAGTACACTGACCTATAATTGCTAACATCTACATGATTTGTTTTCTGGTTGATAGTTCTCATTAGCAATAGTACCACATCTTATTTGTATATCAAGTGATAAGCTGAGGCTTTTTAACATCAGTTACATGCAGTTTCAGGACAATAATGTGTTAAACAAGCATTCTGTGAGTATTGCATGGCAATAAATAGTCCCCTGGCGGTTAAAAATTCATTGAATTGAAACAAAATTCTAACTTGATCTATAACTTGTCATGGTGTAAACTGTATAACAAATGTCAAGTCAATATCTTCAAGCATGACGAATAAAAGTGTTGAAAACTGATTATTTAAGTGAATTTTCTAAGTCCAAGGACCATAACTCTGCCAAAAATCATCAGACCTGAACAAAATTCAAAATTGATCTGTAACTTGTCATGATAAAACTTTATACTAATTTTCAAATCAATATCTTCAGGCATGACGAAAAAAAGTGCAGAAAACTGATTATTTGAGTGAATTTCCTAAGTCCCAGGATCTTACTCTGCACAAAATCATCAGACCAGAAAAAAATTCGAAATTGAACTGTAACTTGTCATCATAAAACTATATACCAATTATCAAATCAATATCTTCAAGAATGACAAAAAAAGTGTGGAAATCTGATTATTTGAGTGAATTTTCTAGGTCAAAGGACCATAATTCTGCACAAAATCATCAGACCGCAACAAAATTTGAACTTTATCTGTAACTTGTCATGATAAAACAATACAACAAATATCAAATCAATATCTTCAAGCATGAAGAAAATAAATGTGGATAGTGTCCACATATGGACACAGATGATGCCCCCGCTTGCATATCATATAGTTATGAAGGGACATAACTGAAGAACGGTAAAAGTGACGCTACCCAAATTGAACTTGATCTGAGTTTTGTGGTAATAAGCATTGTGTGTAAGTCTCATAACATTTGGTTGAGGCAAACTTAAGTAGAGAACAGAAACTAAAAATTCAGCAATTTTTTTATTTGTAAAGACCCATAACTCTAGAACGGTTGTGTATAAGTTTTATAACATTTGGTTGAGACAAACTAAAGTTAGAGAACGGAAACGAAAAATTCAGCAATTTTTATGTTTATAAAGGGACATCACTCAAGAATGGTAAAAGTGTAGCCACCAAATTTCGTACTTAATCTGTATTATGTAGTAATAAGCATTGTGTATGAGTTTCATAACATTTGGTTGAGGCAAACCAAAGTTAGAAAACGGAAACAAAAAATTTGTACTTGATCTTAGTTTTGTGGTAATGAATATTGTGTATAGGTTTCATAATGCTTGGTTGGGGCAAACTTAAGTTACAGAATGGAAACTAAAAATTTGCATTCTTTCGATTTATAAAGGGGCATAACTCAATAATGGTTAAAGTGACACTACCCAAATTCAACTTGATCTGTGTATTATCAGTGGAAGTCAAAATTAAACATTGCATTGTATAAAGCATTCAACTATAATCATGGACAAAGGAAGATAACTCCAATTTTAATAAAATGCTCTGCTGGGCGCAGCTTGATACGACCGCAGAGGTCGAACCCTGAACAGTTGGGGCAAGTATGGACACAACGTTCAAGCTTGATACAGCTCTGAATTTGGATCGTGATTAAGTATTTGACACAGCATAGGTTTCTGACACAGAATGAATGTGGTCTAAGAACTTTAAAATGGAAAATTTTAAAGAAACAAGAAAAAAGGAAAAAAAAATCCCCCCCCCCCCATTTTTTTAACCCCCTTATGATTCATCACCCCAAAACTCAATCCCAACCTTCCCTTTATGGTATGGTACCTTGCAGTACAATTTCAGAGAGATCCATACACTTGAACACAAGTTATTGTTTGGAAACTGTAAAAATGCTTGTTTTTTTGGTCCCAAATTCCTAAACGTTTAGGGCAATTACCCCTAAACTCAAACCCAGCTTTCCCTTTATGATATGGAACCTTGTAATATAATTTCATAAAGATCCATACACTTACACTCAAGTTATTGTCCTGAATCTAGAAAAATGCTTGTTTTTTGGCCCTATTTGGCCCCCAATTCCTAATATTTTGAGGCAATTACCCCCAAAATCAATCCCAGCGTTCCCTTTGTGGTATGGTACCTTGCAGTACAATTTCAGAGAGATCCATACACTTGAACACAAGTAATTGTCTGCCAACCTCAATTCCAGCTTTCCCTTTGTGATATGGAACCTTGTAGTACAATTTCAGAAAGATACATACACTTACACACAAGTTATTGTCACGAAACTAGAAAAATGCTTGTTTTTTGGCCCCTTATTCTTAAAATTTTGAGGCAATTACCCCCAAAATCAATCCCAGCATTCCCTTTGTGATATGGAACCTTGTGGTACAATGTCAGAGAGATCCATACACTAACACACAAGTTGTTGTCTGGAAGTTACAAAAAAATGCTTATTTTTGGCCCCTTATTCCTTAACTGTTGGTACCATAACCCCCCAAATCAATCCCAACCTTCCTTTTGTGGTATTGAACCTTTTGGTATAATTTCATAGAGATCCATTCACTTAAACTAAAGTTATTGTGTGAAAACCAATGTGTCTTCGGAAGGACAACTACGCCAATGTCATACCAATATACGACCACAAAAAAGTTTTGCTGTCGTAAAAAAATTACTTGATATTTAGAAGAAAATAAAAATTTTGCCATTTTTCCATTTATAAAGGGGCATAACTCTAGAACGGTTAAAGTGATGCCCCCAAAACTCAAACTTGATCTGTGTTTTGTGGTAATAAGCATTGTGTATAAGTTTCATAACATTTGGTTGAGGCAAACTTAAGTAAGAGAATGGAAACTAAAGATTTTGCAATTTTTCCATTTATAAAGGGGCATAACTCTAGAACAGTTAAAGTGATGGCATCAAAATTCAAAGTTGATCTGTGTTTTGTGATAATAAGCATTGTGTATAAGTTTCATAACATTTGGTCGAGGCAAACTCAAGTTAGAGAATGGAAACCAATTTTTGGACGTACGTACGTATGTACAGGACAAGGGTCAAATTTAATGCCCCAACCGCTACGGGGGGCGGGGGCATAAAAAGTGTGGAAAACTGATTTGCTGGACTGACGGATTGCAAACCTAAAGTCCCCTTAGACTTCATCAGTAGGGGACTAATAATAATGAATAATGGCTCTTTAACCAGCTAAAAAAACAAGATATCTTTCTGAGGGAAGACATACCTTACCCAAACACAATATTCTAACCCTGACCCATTCATATTCAGCCCCCAACAATTGAATGCTACATGCTTGGTAAAGAAGCAGCAAATACCAATTTCAAAGTATATGATTTTTTTTTTATCTCAACATTCGAGGTGAGAACAAGACCATGAGACCACCATGCAGTTCTGAGATGGAGGGACAAACAGATCAAGAATGTTTAGTTGAACAATATTTTATTTTATAAATGAACATTTACAAGATGCAATATATGTCGAAACAAATGTCTGTTGAAAATTGTTTAAACATATTCATATCTGGATAAAGAAAATGTCTTTAGCATACCAATTAATATATGTAAAATAGTAAGGGGATCTAAAATAAAGTCTATTTATCAGGCCTTTTAAACTTTATATATATATATGTTTAAATACAAGAAATGGGGTATATGTCAATGAGACAGAGTCCAACAACATCTAGTTGTAATTAAAATTGAGATACAAATTTAAAATTTCTGATTGCATTAACATCCCCAAATGTCAGCGCTGTTGTTAACATCCCCAAATGTCAGTACTGTGGACTCAACAGACATTTATACTCTTCTTACATATAATAAATGATATTCATATCTGTAAAACATAACTTAACTTCAAATTTCAAATAAAATCTTTGATGTGGTCCCCTTTTGACATATTATTGTCAAAGACCTGAGAAACAGAATTATTTTCTAGAAAGCTGTGTGATATGTCAAAGTTTTATGGCAGTATTACTATCAACGAAATTTGTTGAAAGAGCTTTTCACTAAACATTGCAATTAATTTTGTTCAAAAATAAAATTATAAACCTTAATGACTTTTTTGAGACATACCATCTAATAAGAATAAATATTTTGTATAAATATATATTATAGATCTTTTAGGTTAACATGAGAAAATTACTGACAGAGCCATTCCATTTATATTAGATCATGATAATAAATAAGTAAGATGGAGCATACTGACCAAAAAAATCCACAAAAGATTAAATTCATTGCATGGCTGAACACCAACTTGTATGCATGCAGCTTTAACAGCAACCACCAACACACTTTACACATATTTTCTTTTGACTAATGTCATCTTTCATCAGAAGAGGCATATTAAGGAAATTTCACCGAATATTAACTTGAGCTCTGTCAAAATTTTTATTTCAAATGTTACATTTATTTTCATTGTTCACATATTAAAACAATAAGATTGTAATAGACAAGTTGCTAAAAAAAAATCTGCATATAATATGTCAGCTTTTACAACAAAAAGTAATACTAATTCATACACGATATGGACCTCAGTTACAAGTATGATAAGCCTTCAGATTGATAAAACTTATGACAGCTAATGACAAATAGTACAGTACACATAACATGTTGCAGTAAATTTAAGATACTATACATTAAGTTATTTAAAATCACTTTCTAGTGAATGCAAGTTCAATACCAAAAAAAAATTGCCGGAAATAGAATAATAATTTATGTTGGGGGCATATTTTACAGGAAGCAAGCAAAACTGTGACCATAAATCTAATGTAATTTTTTGGGAAAAAATTTAGGTACCAATCAAAAGTTAGTACTAACATAAAGACCAAAAGTAACAGAGATTAAATTGCTAAAATTCTCTGGGGTACATGTATTAATAAGATCTACTAATTTTACAGTGATCTACTGAAGCTTACTATATAAGTTATCTTTAAACTATTACATCTTGCGTGTACTGTAAGAAACAAAAGCAGTATTATCCCATATCTATCTCCCCGACACGAGACAAACAAATCCAGTTACCACCTGATAAAATGATACAACAAAATTAAAATATTTACATCTATTTCTCCATTCATACAGATAATATAACAATAAAAACAATAGATAATAATAACAATACACTACTTATATACATAATTATCACAAAATTATTTAAAAACAGTTAATTTGGTAGAATATATAGAAACAACATGTACAATACACACACAGGGTGACATCTGTGGTGATCTTTTAATAAATGCTGGTAGTTAACTCAATATATAAAATCTGTTTATTCAGCAGAAATTGCATGACACTATCAGTGTTATCAACAACAAAATTCAGCAATCTTTTTTCAAAGGGAATTACCCAATATTAAGTTTTTTTAAATGAATAACCATGTGTGTACTATACATGTATATGTACTCAAATTCCTAAATTGTATAAAATATCTTTAAAGGGTCAGTGTTATCTGCTTTTAACATAGGGTGTGATACGTGTACATTAATGTAAACACATACTTGTGTAAAATTCTGAGCATTGTAACACTTTCTTCACTTCATCATAACAATAACATTCTGTGTTTTTGTAGAACATTGATAAAAGCATTACATAATTGCAAACTTTTACTACACAGAGAAATATAATATTAAATGCATATAAGATTAAAAAAGATGTTAAATATCAACAACAGTTGATTGTGGTCAACTGCACAGTTAGATGTAACTTTTTCATTTTTTTCTCATTTTCAAAGCAAATACTTTTCAAATAATTGAAGCTTACGAAATTTTAGAACAAAGGCTGAGGGTTTATGCACCCTCAATAAAAATAGAATATGTGAATGATCTTTGCCATTGTGTTAAAAATGTCACCACATGAAATACAGACATTTTACAAAGTTAGGTAAAATTCTGTATAAGCAACATATATAACTCTCTGATCACATCTATCATACACAAGCATTAGATTTAAAAGAACTGGTTCCCGGTACAGATTTAGTCATCAGTCCAGTGTTTAGGCTCCATATACACTTTCATCACTGTATGCTATGTATAGAAAGAAGTCTTCCTCGTGATGCTCCTGAAAAACAAATGAATACTAGTATTTGTGTATTTTAATACATGTGTTACACACATTTTGTATGTATACAGTTTTTACAGAGTCTTGAAACTATAACACAACATTAAACTTTAAACAAAAAGTTTATCCTTCTTGCAGATATTGATCTGATGAGTTAAGCCCTTTTCAACTGATTTTTATAGTTTGTTCTTATGTTTTACTGTTACACCACTGTCCCAATAGGGGAGAGTTGGCACCTTCAAACTGTCCCCAAGTCATAAGCCTGTAGTTCTGTGGTTTTTGTTGGTTTATGTCTGTCAGATTTGTTTTTCGTAAATTGTTTTGTTATAAATTAGCTAGAATAGGCTGTTAGTTTTCTCTATAGAGTTGTTTCATATTTCATATTTTGAATGTCGGGCCTTTTATAGCCAACAAGACAGTACGAGTTTTTCTCATTGTTGAAGGCTGTTTGGATAGTTGTCTCATTGGCAATCATATACAGCTCCTTATTTTTACATGTTATTTGTGTAATATAACTACAAGTGTATATTTTTTCATCATCAAAGCAATCATACCACATCTTCTTTTTTATATACACAAAGTTCTCACCATGATTCTATCAAAAGTGAATTCCTCAGAATTTCCTCTGTGCTATCTTTTTAGTATATATCTTGGTGCTTCATGTAAATTAGCATCAAGATTAACATTCCTTTGTATGTGTGTGTTTGTGTGATGGATACATAATTTCTGTAATTTCACTTTTAATGAAAATGTGATTATGTATTCTACTCCTTGCTGTATAGCCTTTCAAGTTGTTAAACATAATAGTTTTGTACCTGATAAAGAGATCCTATTGTTGTTAGACTTAGTTTTATACCTGATAAATTGATCCTATTGTTGTTAAACCTAATAGTTTTGTACCTAATAAAGAGACCCTATTGGAGTTATAACTTATTAGTTTTGTACCTGATAAAGAGATCCCATTGTTGCACTTGTTGGAGGGATCACATTGTTTACAAAGAAAAACAAAGCATCTTCAGGCCTCAGATGAATTCTCTTTCTTATCAAGAAATAAAACTGTCCAACTGTTAAATCTGATGGCACCAGATATTTTTTCTTGTCTAAATCTCCTACTCTGGCCTTTGGCGCTTTCTCAACAATAACCTGTAATATAAAAGTACTTTTACACTACGAAACCTAATAATGGTTACAATGTTAAACAACATACCGTTATAATTGTTTGTTCTCATTTACCTGAATTTGCATTTGGATGTTCAACATACAATGTATATTGTTTAAGAGATCTGTTTGCATGTACATTTTGAAGTAAAACTGCTAAAAACCAACCAATTTCCTAATATCACATTTTTGTCTTTCTTTTCTGGTCAAATCATGCCGATGTCACAACTGACAAAACCAAACAAATCTTCAGTCACGTAGATTTGTAGGACAGACAAAATAACTGACCACTGTTTTATTGTAAATGAGAAATTGTGTACAATGTACAACTACCAGTCAGAATTGAAATATTTACAATAGTACGGATGACATTAATAGGTCAACCTAACTGGAAATAGACTAAGTGTGAAACTGAGATACTTTTAGTTTTACATAAATTTTGACCTAGTACTGTTTGGAGGTTGTCCACCTGGAATTATGCAGTATTCAACAATATGAAACTCGAGAGCTTTATTTTCATTACAAAATCGCTTGCCACCTCCGGAACTCGAACTCAGGGCCTCTGTGTTACAAGGGAGCGCTCTAACTGACTGAGCTAAACTAAGTATCTACTATTCAAGGGAAACAATCCCGTCACAAATAGATGGACTGATTGTTGTTTGCTAAGTGGCAAACATTTAACAACAGACAATATGTTTTTTAAAATCACCAAAATTCTTAAAAGATGTGAATAAATTTGACAGAGACATTTAAAAAATCTAACTATCCAACTCAATTCTCCAAATTTAAAGAGTCATTAAGATATGACGTAGAACAGCTACCGATGAGGCTCCTGTCTTGGGACAGGCAACATTTTTTTTAGAATATTTTTCCTTCGCCATTCTTTTTGTTAATTTCCTTGTTCACAACTTACAGGAACACGATCTGGATACTTCTTTCGGATTTTTTCACCCTCAGCACGCCTTTTTTCAAAGGGATGTTCTTCTTTATATTCCCACTTCATTATTTCTTCTAGATACGATTTAAAGATTTTTCTCCTTTCTGTTTGATGCAACAAATTGTCAACAAATATGGCGGATTTCGGATATAAACAAATAATTACTCCGCACACCAAATAGTTCTATATATTTTTTTTTAATTTATCCGTTTCAGTTTGAGTAAATATTTATTAAATTTATATTTTAGATTGCTGTACATAAGGTTATGACAGCTGACTTGATTGTTCCAATGATTTTGTAAATTACGTGGCGTAATATCTAGTTGATGCGTATTTACAAAAGTCACATGTCAGTCGTCTAATCTCTAAAAATAACTACTCATAGTGACGTAATATTACTGGTTCCAGAAGAGTGATTCCAGTCTACGGTGTGTTGTTTGCGCCATCAGGATTCGTACTATTGCCATACGTTCTTCTTCTTCTCCTTCTTCATCAGTTATACAACAAAACTTCAGGATACTGAAGATGAGTTGTCGTTGTAGTAAATCAGCAAACTTTAAGGAGGTATTACCGTATAGACTTTATTTAAAGAATGTTACACAGTTTGCATAACTCTGACAGCTCTGACTGACAATATTACATTTAAATATAACAATGATCAAAGCAAATCTACCTAGCCTACATACAAGCTGGGACATGATGTATAATATATTAAAGCATAATAGTCTGATCAGGTACTTCTTCTTTCAGTTTCTACCGATCCTTCAATTATTGAAGATTATTCGCCGGGCGTCGACTATAAAATTTTATAATTTACATTGTTGCAAGAAAAATAAAAAGAAACAAAATCAAAAAATCAAAATAATGTATGTGCATTTGAAAAATTTCATTTAGATAAAACTATATACATTTCATAACAAAATAGTTAGGGATAGAAAATGGGGATGAGAGCAGAAGATTCCAATCTATAACTGTTCGTGGATAAAATGAATATTTATAACTGTCTTTAGATGTTTGTATTTGCCTAAATGAGTGTGGATTGCTATGTCTAGTTCTATTGTCTAGTGGGATCAAAAGGTTATATGTAGGGACTGCAACAATTTCATGTATAATTTTGTAGAAGAAGACAAGTCTGTATCGTAAACGCCTAATTTCAAGTGGGTACAAAGTTTAAGTCTGTCATCATTTCAGTAATTGAGCTGGTGTTATGGAAGCGGTTGCACGAGAAGCGCGCTGCTCTTCTCTGAACTTTTTCAATTTGTGAAATTTGCTGTTTTTGATGTGGATCCCAAATAGTTGAGCAGTACTCTAGTTTTGGTCGGACAAGAGCTTTAAATGCATGTGCTTTAACTTTAGGTGAGGCTATTTTAAGGTTTCTACGAATAAATCCAAGAGACTGATTTGCTTTTGATGTCATGTTATCGATATGTTTGTCCCATTTTAAATTTGATTGAAGAGTTAGGCCTAAATATTTTGTAGAGTAAACTTTTTCTAGAGAGTGATTGTGTAATTTATAAGTGAAGTCTAAAGGTTTGCGTTTTTGAGTTATACTGAGAATGTTGCACTTATCAGGGTGAAAATGCATGAGCCAGTCCTGCTCCCATCTGCCGGCTTCCAAGTCAGACTGTAATTTATATGTGTCATCTGGTTTTTTAATTTCCCTATAAATAATACTGTCATCTGCGAACAATCTTAATGTACTATGTTCAATATATTCTGCCAAATCATTTATAAATATTAAGAATAAAATTGGACCAAGCACTGTGCCTTGAGGTAACCCAGATGTTACAGGAATTTTATTTGATGTTTCACCTTCAAGGACTACTGTTTGTGTTCTGTTTGTTAAAAAATCTTGAATCCAATGTAATGCATTGCAATTTATACCGCAGAAACCGATTTTATACATGAGATGGTGGTGTGAAACTTTATCAAATGCTTTTGCAAAATCCATTATTATGATGTCTGTTTGAATGTTTTTATTATTTGAATTTGCAAGATCTTGAATAAATGATATTAGCTGAGTTTCACAGGAGCGAGATGATCGAAAACCATGTTGTAAGTCATATAGTATTTTATTTTTTTCCAGATGTTTCATTATATTACTAGCTACAACATGTTCTAATAGTTTGCAGCAGATGCAAGTCAATGATATGCATGGGGCGATAGTTTATAGGGTCGTGTTTGTCGCCTTTTTTGAATGCTGGACATACACTTGCGTGACGCCAGTCATCTGGGATCTTTCCAGAGTTCAGTGATGTTTGGAATATGATTGACAAGATGGGAGTGATAGATGTCTTACACTCTTTTAAAATTTTTCCATGGATGAGATCAGGCCCAGCTGCTTTGTTGATATTGATGTTATTTAGAAGTTTTTCTATGCCCTGTTTTTGTGTTTTAATATCAGGCATCTGTGGATGTTTACTGACGCCCTTATCTGGTATTGGATCATCTGTTACAGGTGTGAATGCTTTTTTGAACTGTTCATTTAAAATATTAGCTTTTGCTTTTGAATCAGATGTAAGTGAGCCCTCTTTTCGGAGTGGTGGTATGTTAGAGCTTTCAGACTTTTGTGTTTTTATATAACTGAACAGATTTTTGGGGAAGCTCTTTGATATAGTAGTAGGGTTGTCATCAACTGGTATACCACATATCATATTTTCAATATAATTCCAATAAGATGTTCTTTGTTGTTTTTGTATTTCATGTTTTAATTTTTTGAGTTGGTCTTGTTTCCCTTTGTCTTTCAATTTGTACTTTTGATATTTTTTCTTGTACTTTTTCATTTGTCTTCTAAGACTGTCTGTTATCCAAGGTAGATTTTTGCTGTTTCTCATCATTTTCTGTGGTATGTTCTCAGAGATAGTGTTTTGTAATGAGTTTTTAAATATTAACCAAAGTGTATTTGTATCTTCACTATCCTTTTTATGCATGATCTTTTGATATGTTTGATCTATATCCTCTTTTATTTTTTGCCAGTTTGCATTTTTATATTTATAGATTTTACGTGGCTTGGTTTGGCATCTTTTTAATGATAATAAACATTCTATATATACAATATCATGGTCTGCCTCTCCTAATGGTGGCATGGTTTCAGTTTTTTCAATGATGGCTGGATAATTTGTTAACACAAGATCTAATATTTTATCATTTCGAGTTGGTATGTTTACAACTTGTGCTAAAGAATAGTCATTTATTATGTCTAAAAATTGCTGATGTTGTTTTTGATTTGTTTTTCCAGGGATGACGCTTGTTGTTTCCCAATTGATGTTCCCTAAATTAAAGTCCCCACCAATAATTATGGCTGACTTTGAGCTGGCGTTTATTCTACTTATTGATTCATTTAGCAAATCTAAGGATGTATCATCATCTGGCTGAGGTCGATAATAAGCACATATATAACATTTACGTGCATTTGATATTAATAGTTCTACCCATATCATTTCACATCCTGTGTCTAGTTCTTTGATTTCTGTACATAAAAAATTATTTGATATAGCTATGAGTACGCCTCCATGACATTGGCCTTTTTTATTTGATTGTCTATCTTTTCTAAATACCGTGTATTGATCTTTTGAAAAATATTCATAAGATGATGTTTTAGGATCTAACCAAGTTTCAGTACCTATTATTATATCAGGCTGTGTGGTACACGTTAGAAGGATAAGAACAATGGCCTTGGAGACTTACACAATCTTTTACATGATTTGGCCCCACCTGTTTTATTAGACTAAATTAATAAACACGGCCATAGATATTTTATGCCCCTCTAAACGACGTCCAATTTTTCGCTTCTCTAATCGAAGTCCAATTTTTAGCTTCTCTAATTTGACGTCCGTTTTATGGACTTGCAGCAATGACGTCATAACTTTATGACTTCGTAGGTGGCTTTGAGACAACAATGAAACAAGACACAGTACCTGATGAAGGATATGTTTTCGAAAAAAAAAAGAAAAAAAAGGAATAAGCAAAGATCCAAACGCCGAGACATTTTGGGCCGACATGCCATATTACATGGAAATAGCTAAAGCAAAAGAACAAAACGGCAAATGGGGACCTAAAAAGATCAAAGCAGAACTGAAACTTGGATTGTCTGAGAGAGTGATGAAGACAGTTCTAAGTCAATATTTTTACGACCAAAATACAAATTAAATGTTTAGAAAATCTGTTGATTTAAATGTGCACCATAGAAGATGCGTAAGTAAAATTGAGTTAGTGGATATGATCAAAGAAAATCACAAAAAAAACCCACAGAAAAGCAGATACTATATACGAAGCGCTAAGGACCACAGTGTTTCCCGTTGTCAGAGAAACAGTTAAAATTCTTTTCAAAACAGAAGTAAAGTGTCATCAATGTGCCAGTGCTATTGAACTACCTAAAACTACAACACGGAGACCAATTACAGCAACATATTCAAAGAGACGATAGCAAGTAGATTTAAAAAAAGATGCCAGTAGTAAGAGGATTTTCATATGTATGCAATATGATTGATTGTTACTCAAGGTTTGCTTTTGGAGGACCAACAAAAACCAAGACTGCTAAAGAAATAGCAGATTTAATTTTAAAGTTCCTCTACCTGTTACATGTGTTAGGATCACTAAGAATTTTACAGTCTGATAATGGAAAAGAATTTTCAAACTCCATCCTAGCAGATGTAATTGATGTGTTTTAAACACGACAAATCCATGGGCGTCCTTATCAGCCACAAAGCCAGGGCCGGGTAGAAAGGTTTAACAGAACGTTAACAGAATATTTTAGAATCCAGATGTCTGAGCACAAAGACTGGCCTTCTGAACGTCAAGAATTTTACTATAATTACAATAACAAAGTCCACAAAGCCACAAAGCCAGCAACGCCTTACCGGTTATTTTTCAAGCGACCAAATTTTGCCCCTCCAGTAGATGAACAGGTGAGTTTCGTTATAAGCAAATTATTAATTTATAAGATATATAACAATGCCAAAATATAATGTAACGATATTTTATTAAAGACAAAGGGAACATTGAATGCCATATTTGCAAAATTATTGTGAATGTTGAGTTTAATTAATTTATTGTTTTCAAATGAGATTTATTTAGACAACCACAACTTATTTTTTGCATTTCAAAAATATTAAAAAAATTTTTTAAAGAATTTTGTCTTTTGTTTTTAAGGTGAAATACCAAATATAAAAAAAATTGTGATCCGTGACTTCACAAAGGTTTTACGTTATTTGTTACAGACGCCTGATAGCAAAAACAAATTTAAAGGCGGTAGCGGTAAAGTGAAAAATCATACTAAAATTTGGTCTTTTGTTAAAGTAAAATTATAATTTGCAAAGACAAAATTTTAAGAGTATGAGGATAACAAAGTAAAAA